TTTTAATTAAAACAATTATTATTACTCAGGCTGAAAATTAACAAGACCATAATCAAAAAGTAGAAATTTGATTTGCAATATTTATCTGGTAAACGTGGCAACGTTGCATTTATTTCTAGAAGTGTGTTAGACAACACTATTTAGAAGCACTTACAACGTTGTCACGTTTACCAGATACATTTTCTCAAATAAAATTTCGATCCGGTAATATTCAGCTTGAGTAATACTAATTGTTTTTATTAAAATTTAAAAAAGGTAAGGCTTCCAGCTTTATCTGAAAATATAAACACATTATATTTAAAAAATAATATATTTTTATCATGTAAATTTCTTTAATAAATGCAGAAGAGGAATGGTGGTGCAGATACATCCGACAACCGCGCCCTTTTAACTATTACCCGATACAAGACCTGAAGGGAATTAGGGGTTTTCTGACGCAATGAGTCACTGAAAGAATTTTATGGGAATTCCCTTACTTCTAGCAAAAATATCTTAACGGGAAAAGTACCACCAGACAAAAGAGTTTAATATCTTTATAAATATATAAATAATTCACATTTAAAAATGAAAGTGAACGGGCCCATAGAACAGAACAAGTATTAGAAATTAAAAATTTAAAAAACCGACTTCTAAAACGTGCAGATGCCATTACCACATAACCAAATTTATATGGGACCACCCCTGAGGTGTCCCTTTACTGACAAAAAAAGAATCATATAAATCGGACAAGGTGGTAAAGCATTATCGCTAAACATACATAAAAAATGAAGAGTGAGGATTTTCTCATGGACCCAATTATTAGATTTTGACCAAATTTATATGGGACCACCCCTGAAGTACCCCCTTTCTAATAAAAAAGAATCATTAAAATCGAAGACCGTGTTAAAGAATTATCGCTAACATACATAAAGTTTGAAGTCGATTAATAAACAAACATTCAAAACAACTTTGGAATGTAATAAAAACTATCCAAGTCAAAGTTAAGAAACCAGTGACATATTTACTGACCAAAAAAGAGCTATTAACTGCAGATACACAAATAGCTGAAGTTTTGAATACTTTTTCGTAGAAGTAGGGGAGAATTTTGCGAAAAATATATCCATTTCAACCACACTTATCCCAGAACGTAAGCGCCTTATGCATTCATTTTTCTCGAAACATGTGTATGAAAAAAGTCAAAAGAAATTGTTAATAATTTAAAAAATTACAAATCACCTGAAGCCGATTGTATAAAGGCGGAAATAATTAAATTTCTGTCTGATATCGGCCTGTTGGTCCACCTTATAAATAATTGTTTACAACAAGGAAAATTTCCTACCCACTTAAAAAAAGCAATAGCAAAAAAGGAAACAAAGCCCATATTAGTAATTCTAGACCTGTTTCGTTAACTTCTAATATTGCTAAAGTTATTGAAAAAACTATTAAAATTAGATTATTAAACTTCGTAGAAAAAATATTTTATCGAAAAATCAATATGGGTTTAGAAAAACGTATCAATTGATGATACAATCGCTTACCTAACGAAAAGTATATATGACTCGGTTGATAATACAGAGCCTACACTGTGTGTATTTTTGGATCTCGCCAAGGCATTTGACACTGTCACAAGCAGTTGTTGAATATCTTGGAGGATACGGGAATACGAGGATAGCGTTGGACCTTTTTAAATATTGCCTCGATAAAAGACAACAAGTCAAAATATATGTTTTAGTTCTAATAATACAGTTACATATAGTGTACCAGAAGGAACAATATTAAACCCATTTCTTTCCTTGTTCTACATAAACAATTTACTTTCAATTAGAATTACATGAAACATTTTCTGTTTTGCCAATGACACAGCCACCATATATTATGGTGGCTGAAACAGATTTAAAAATACATTTAATTGGTTCTAACACCAAAATTTCGAAAAAAAAAAATTAGGTGTCTGAGAGTAGATATATCAAATCCTGTAAACATAAAAAATCAGGAATAATATTCGAATTTACAATATCCATATAAATAGGGTCACAAAAACTTTAAGGATGATGTTACATAAATTTAAATATTTAAAAAATATCTTCGATCTTAGATATCTTAAGACCATATCTATGCATTAGTAGAATCCCGCTTAATATATTGGATAATAGCATGGGATGGAACATTAAAAATTAATCTAAAAAACTAGATACTTTACAAAAACGCATCATTAAAAGCATGTATAATAAAAAATTGATTATCCTTTTAATATTCTTTTCCAAGAAACAAGGTTATTTGATACAAGAACGTTATACAGGGATTTCATTTCAAAACTAGCCACCCAAAATAACTTCTAAAATATCTTTAAAACAAAAAAACAAAAAACACGTTAATTTATATTTACGGGGGGACACATTTTACAAGTATCTGTAACCATGCAGTTTCATCTCCTAAGCGATGGTGAATATCACTTCTAAAATTTTAAATAGAAAGGGGTATCATGTGATAGCTCTTCTTAAAGGTCTCTTTTTTTTCCAATCTTTTGACACATTATTTTTTTAAATCGGATTAATTTTTCACCAAGTTATGCCATTTTAACCTTTTAAATTAAAATAATTATTATTTACATTGTATTTACATTATTATTTTATTTGCGTAAGAATTCCATTGTACTTAAATAAGATGTTCAAAATGTCCGCCATTGTTGGCAAGGCAATGGTAAAGTCACAGCTCGAATTCATCCCGCACTTTTTGAAGCGTCTCTGGTGTAATCCGCTCACACTATTCTACGTCTAAGTTCAGGAATATCGCGAGGTTGAGTTTTATACACCACAGTTTTTAGATGTCCCCATAAAAAAAAGTCAAGGGGCGTTAGGTCGGGTGATCTCGCTGGCCATTCTTTAGCGCCCCTTCTTCCGATCCATTTATCTGGAAATGTCTCATTAAGCCAATTTCGTACAGGCAAGGCATAATGTGGAGGTGCTCCGTCCTGTTGAAAAAATAGGTTTTCTTCGTCTAGTATCAAATTTCCATCTTGATCTATTTGGTTTTCTAAGGATTTGGTTATAAGAGGATTTATCAGATTTTCTAATAAGTTTAAATACAATTCCCCAGTTAAATTTTCCTCCATGAAAATAGGACCAATAATTTTATTACCAAGAATTTAGGCCCATACGTTGATTTTCTGATGATATTGGCTGTGCTCTTCCCGAAAAACATGTCGATTTGTATTGTCCCAGTACCTACAATTATGTTTATTGACAAATCCATTTAAAAAGAAACTTGCCTCGTCAGTAAAACAAATATTTTTAATAAAATTATGGTCTTCATTTGCCCTTTGAGTCATTAATTCGCAAAATTCTAATCTTCTGTCATAATCATCCTCAGCAAGCTGTTGTAAAAGCTGTATTTTGTAAGGAAATAATTTATTTAGCCGTAACGTTTTATGCACAGAGCCAACGGAAATATTTGTTAATCTGGAGACTTTTGGTATTGATGTTTGAGGTTCCATGGCAAAATGACCTAAAATCTCAACTTGTGCAGCTTCAGTTAAAACTCTACGATTCCTTACAGTTTTATTGCACACACTTCCAGTTTCTTGAAATTTATGAACTAAATCCAACACATACTGATGCCCAACATTTTTATAGGGATGTCTCTGATTAAAAACACGAGCACTTCTGCGTGCACAGCGTTGTTCTTCACCATAAATAAAGATTATTTCAATTATTTCTTGTAAAGAATAAACCATTGTCAGTACACAACGAAACCAATAATTTAGTAATAATAAATTGTTTTAATTTACGGTCAAAAATATCTTAAGCAAAAAACATTTAAGGCTTTTTGCTAACTTGTTTATCTCGGTATTTATACTCATGCATTTAAATTCAATATTTCTAGGTTATAACTTGGTGAAAAATTAATCCGATTTATAAAAATAATGTGTCAAAAGATTGGAAAAAAAGAGACCTTTAAGAAGAGCTATCACATGATACCCCTTTCTATTTAAAATTTTAGAAGTGATATTCACCACCGCTTAGGGGATGAAACTGCACGGTTACAGATACTTGTAAAATGTGTCTCCCCGTAAATATAAATTAACGTGTTTTTTTGTTTTTTTGTTTTAAATATATTTTAAAAGTTATTTTGGGTGGCTAGTTTTGAAATGAAATCCCTGTATGTATATAGTGTATCGATATTCGTTCATAAAAATAAACAAGTACTTCAGAATATTAGGCATAAATATACAACCAGAACTAAAACTATGAAGTGTATCAAAATTCACCAAATACACAAGAAAATTGGTCTTACATATTTATTGCTCCAAAACTATTTAATTGGCTCCCTGAAACATATAAGATTTATCTTTATATTATTAACTCCATCAATCTACTTAAAGATAGAATTAAAACATACTTACTCCTTAGCAACAGAGAAGATATACACAAAATTATAGAAAAGTCTTAAATTTTATAAAATATGTTTAAACAAAATTATTAATAAAATCAATTAATCCACACAATAAATACAAATAAAATAGAATATAAACAGTAAGAAATCGAATCGCTGTTGGCTAAAAATTGAAGTAGGTAAGATACTCAAAGTTTAAAATAAAAAATATATATAATAACGATAATAATCAACTTCCCTAATTAAGTTATGATTTTATTTATCATGTTTCAATATTTAAAAAATTTACACTAAAATTTAAAATAAATTATTTGGCTCACGCGCAACCAAATATGGTCTTCAGTAGGCGTTAAATATCATTTCTTTTCTTTTAATATTTATGTTGTACAGGTTATCTCTCAGTATAAATTATTAAAATTGTCATTGATTAAAATTCATTCATTTTTTGTCCGATATTTTGAATCTCCCTGTAGATATCAAAGGTTTTTCAGCATTATTTTAATGAACACAAAACTTCGCAACGTTTGTCTAATTTAACCAACTTTCTAGCTGTTAGCGTTTAAGAAATAGCAATAGTATCCCTATAAAATAGTAGGATCCCATATATATATATCGGCATTTAATTCTAGGTCTTATAGAAAAATTCGGACAACAGACAGCCAATCCAGCGTTACTACAGGCAATTTTACTTCACATGTTCAATTATTTGGCACTGATAATCTTACAAACCCACAAAATGTTAGCGTACCGAATTTATCCATGGAAAGTGTTAGGCCTGAACTATATAGAGAAATTCCCAAAACCAGGCAAGTGTTTTCAAATAAAGTCAAACTTAAAAAATTGCTAACTCTGTAAAGTACACAAAAACATCACACCTCTTCTGCAAAAGTGACATAACTCAAAAAGCAGCAGTGTTTGTATCGACAGACCTAATAAAAACCTTATACTTTTCATCTGTAAAAGTGTTACAAGTCCGATTCTACAAGTATTAGATAGAGATCGCTAATGTCTTTTTTAAATTTAGTCTTGTGTCGTTTTTGTAGTATAAAATTTTATAAAAGTTCACGTCATATTTCGAGTTGCAAGACTTTGAAACAAGCGCACCACAGTGGAATAAAAATAAAAGAAAACCCAAAAAATACTTATTGTTTTTATTTGAAAGTAATCACTAAAAAATTATTACGCCGACTTTTATAATAGCTTAACGTAGGCAAAAACAGATGTCGTTTAGTTTATTGTTTTTAATACGCAATTTGTAATTTATTTAATTTACTCCTACCACGTATATTTATTGAAACGTTTAAGTAATCATACAATACTACTTTTATTTTCATGTATTACTGCACACCATGGTAGTAAAACTAATTTTATGACTCCTTTATGTACACGCCTATTGATGGCCAGGATGAGCTTTAAATTATATGTTTTACAGATTTTGTGTTTTTATTTCATTCTTTGAATTAATTTGTTATTGTTGTAATTTTTTATCGAATATTTTTTTTTACGTTTGCTGTATTTTTTTCTGTTTAATATTTACGATTTTGTTTAAGATAAATAAAGAAAATGAATGTTTGTTTATTTGCTACCACTTTACAGTAGTTAATATTGATGTAGTAAATCAAAATTTGTTGTATAGTATCAATTATAAAAAGCGACACAACTCAAAATAAACGGTCGACGTTTACTAAGAAAAAAAATTAATCATAATTTACCTGTATATATAAAGTGAAAAATATTAACTAAACTGAACATGGGATTAAAATAATGACTGTAGGAATTTAACTAAATATCCAAAAAATCATACCAAACTATTTTCAATATAATTTTCCCACAATTTGCATGTTTTTGACTCATCGTTGGTACAAAAGAATAGTGACACAACTCGTAAAGAGGACCTCCATTTTAAAGTTTGTCTTCCTTATGATATTGCCTTTTAAAAATGTTGATCTTTTTTGAGAATGAACATAAGTGTTCATCTTGTATTTAAACAATAAAAAGTTTGTTTTAATAACATTAAGAAAATACCCAAAAATATTTCATCCCTCTTTTGAGTTATGACGATCTTCCAGAAAAGTATATTTTGACTTGTGTCACTGTTGAAAACAATGTCCGTTAGTTTATTTTTAAATAAAACTGGCATATTTTGAATTGTCACTCTAGCCCAAAAATTGACGATCTTGTCTCATTGAGTATCAGAGCACAACTAGATGTGTGTCACTCATCATCATAAACTCTTGACTTTGCCTGCCATTATAATCGAGCAGCTTTTAGGATTAGATGTAAGAGTAGCTTTGGCCAAATTTCGCCTATTTTACTAATATTTTTTTAATAAAGTCAATTATTATCATTATTTTTTAACGTTCATTTTTGAAAGTAGCAATATGTCGTTCTTCCACATAAAAAGTATGCAGTTTTTGCTATAAATTTTAACAAGCCCGAAATTGGAAATTTTTGAGTTGTGTCACTATTCTTGGGCACCAACGTTATGTCACATTTGAAGGGGGGATGTGATATCATGCACCATCGTTAGATTAAATAGTTATTAGCAATAAAGTATACTTCATATAAATAATATTTCCATTCATCAACTATTTAATAACATAGTTTTTAAATCGTTAACAACCTTTTTGTCAAGGAGACTAATTTAACTGTAATTTTTATTTAGGCCGAAACCTCTTAATTACATGCACGCAAGCAATCCTAGTCTTTGCAATGTGAGCGACTTCAGCGTACCCATCTTTGGTAAAACTACACTTAAACCGCCGCATGACACTTTATCGGGATTTGTAACTCTCGAAGAGTTGATGAACAGGCAAACAGAAGAAAGAAAAATGAACCCGCATCACATTGTCGAAGAAGTTACGAGGAATCTGCAACTTGTTACTCCGGACGTCGTGTACGGTAGGTTCACCTAAATTCGTTGCTAAGGAATTATATTGAACAGTTAACGTTTTTCTGCAGGTGAAGTTCCAATCCGTCTAAAAAACTACGAAAAAAATATCGAAGAAGCATCGGACATCTCTTCGAGTAGTTCAAAAACGCGTATGTCGTCTTCCAGTGAAAAAAGTGCTAGTAGTAGTTCGTGTTTTGGCAAACGGCTCGGTTCTTTGAAGAAAAATCACGGGAAAAATGAAGAATTCGATACCAAAACCTCTACTTATCCAAAAACTAACAAAGGATGTGATCAAAAGTTGAACAGGTCTCTGCCAAGGACTCACAAACTTCCAGAAAAATACTCGAGGTAAAAGTAATTTCAAATAATCATAAAACAAGGCAAAACATTTTAAGTACAATCTTAAACCATAAAATATAAAATGCCTAAAGTTTTCAGAAAATAATATATATATATATATATATATATATATATATATATATATATATATATATATATATATATATATATATATATCTCGTTTATTTAGCAAAGCTAATAGTACATTACAAATAAATAAAATTACAAAAAATATTTATCTATATCTAAAATATAAAATATAACACTAAAATATCACAGATGCTGGCTCGTTAACATATAATCTCTTAGTTTATATTTAAAGGTATTAAATGAGGCGACATTTCGGAGTTCTAAGGGTATCTCATTAAAAGCTTGAAGTCCCTTAAAAAATATTGAATTTTGGGACTGTTTACGTGCAACTTGTGGAATATGAAAATTAGATCTATTTCTTGTGTTATAGTTATGATAGTCAAAGTTGTAATTGATTTTATCAAGTAAATAAGAGGGGACCAGTCCATGTTTAATTTTATAAATGAATATTAAAGTTAAGTACAGAAAATAGTTTTTAACAGAAAGCCATTTCAAATTTTGTAACATACCTAATATATTGGTCCTTCTATCACATGACAATAATATCCTCATTGCTCTATTTTGTAATTTCTGAAGTCTGTTGGTTTCATTCTGATTAAGTAAATACATAATGGTGGCACAATAAGTGAAATGAGGCAAAACTATACTGTTATATAAAAGAATCAATGACCATTTATTAATATATTTTGAGCACCGGTATAAGTAGTTGACTTTAAACGCTACTGTTTTAATGATATAGTTTGCATGATCTTTAAAAAACAACATATGGTCTACTATTACTCCCAGGTATTTAATTTTTTTACGACTTCAATGACATCATTTTCAATACTAATTTTCATATTATTTTCAGTAAATTCATTGTAATACCTAACATTCCCGATAATCATAAATTTAGTTTTGTTAATATTTACTTTTAACGAATTAAAACAACATCAATAATATATTTGCTTTAATGTGGTATTTATAGTAGCGGTTACTTCCTGCAAATTATTAGCAGAATAATACAGCAGAGTATCATCTGCAAACATATGTATGGAGCAACCACCTGCAACTTGAGAAATATCATCAATATATAGAAGGAACAATAGTGGGCCCAATACACTCCCCTGTGGTACGCCTAATTCATTTTTTTGTTCTTTTGATAAAATGTTTTTAAACCTTAATTTTTGTTTTCTATTGTCCAGGTAATTTATAAGCCATTCTAGTGAATTTTCAATAATACCAAAACTTTTTAACTTTTTAATCAGTAGAGATCGATTTACCGTTTCAAATGCTCTTTGTAGGTCTAAAAAAAGAGCACCTGTAATTAACTTGTTGTCAAGATTCTGTTTCCAGTCATTTAATACATATTGTAGTGCAGTCTCGCAGCTGTGTTTACCCCGAAATCCTGATTGATTACTATTAAACATATTATTTTCTTCCAAATATTCAATAAGTTGATTATATACTACTTTCTCTAAAAATTTTTCTACTGTACATAACATATTAATAGGACGTAAGTCCACTGCCCTATTTGAATTCTCAACCTTAGCTATTGGTGTTATTATTGACATTTTTAGATCGTCTGGAACAGTATTAGTCTCTAACGAGGAATTTATTATATTTATCAATGGCTTAGCAATATTTTCGAAACAGTATTTTAAAAACAGTACATTAATTTCATCAGGACTTCCTTTATTCGACATATCAAAAACAATTTCTTTTAAAGTATCAAAACTAACAAGATTAAACTTTTTAAGACTTACATTATCATTTTTAACAATAATGGGAAAATCATTAACGTTCTGATTTATATTAGATACTAAGGGGCCTATTCAGTAACTCTGAACGACGTCGTTAATAGACGATAATCGTTCACAGACGACTTTTCTTATTCAGTAGACAACGATTGTCGTTGAAAATAGACAAACATGGTTGTAAAATTGTCGTTCATCAACGATAGCCAAAGAGCTGTCGTTAATAATATGAAGTGTCGTTATAGTGATTTTTGCATTCCCTCTCATTTTTTATTGTGAATCAGGATATGTTCTAAATAATAAAAACACTTTTTTACAAATTTTACAACTAAATTGCCATATACCTAATACAGCAAGTAAAATTTGTAAGGAATTTTTTTCTAATTTATTTAATTATTTTAAAAATAAATCTGATTCAAAGTTAGGATTGCCCATTCAATCATTTACTATTGGATTCTTATTAACAGTGATGTTCCTAAAGTAGCACTGCGAAACTGTAACAAAACCTATATTATGGAAGTACCTATAATACTTCTCCGTAACCTACACAAATTTGGTTTGTTTTTCAAATCCAATAAATACAACTTGTACTGTTCTCGAGTTGTTTTTTGTTTTTTTTAATATATCCATACTCATTTAAATAAACCCTACATACAATATGACCAGCAAAAATAGCCCGCGAGAAACAGAATTCCTACGAATCGAGAATCGACCCCCTGATCGTGTGGTAGAATTTTTATTTTACGTTCAAAAAAAATGTCAAATATACCGGGTGTTCAAATTAAAGGGTTACAGTTAAATACCGCCTTTTATAAAAAAATCAAAGTTTAATAATTTTTTGGGTAAAACATTTTAGCTAAAATTGTTTTTTTATAGCAAACCATAATATGGTCAACTTTTTTTCGCGCAGCAAAATTTTCAAGTAGATGTTACTCAATAAGTAGAAATCCAATAAAAAAATGTTTCCTTTAGAAGTTTCTTGTTTTTTTCATGAACTCTAAGAATACCTATGTAAAAAAATAGGGTTCCAATTTGAAAAAAAAACCACCTCGATATGGCCATATTATGGTCAGCTATAAAAAAAATAATTTAGCCAAAATGTTTCCCCTAAAAAACTATAAAACTTTTGTCTGATGCTTTTTTTTTATAAAATGCATATTTTTGGCGATATTTAACTGTAAAACTTTAATTTAAACGCCCGCTATAATCATCAACATACGTTCTTTTATCACAAAACACTAAATTATAATACCAACTTACTAGAAATCATCGTTCAGATTTGGTAACTAGAAACAACGTAACGACTTTGTTATTGAATAGAGTTTCAAAAATTATCGTTATAAAAGTCGTTGGTTGAACTGTCGTTAGCTTAACGATGTCGTCCATAAACGATAAATTACTGAATAGGGCCCTAAGTCAATTATACTATCAATGTAATATGTGTTAAGTGCATCTGGCATTTCAATTATGTCTTTTATAATTAAATTTTCATTTATTTCAATTTCTACAAGATCATTTTGTTTATAGTTTTTGGGTAACAGTTCCTTCATTACATTCCATAATTTAACAGAATTATTTTTATTTTCCATATTTTGAGAGTCATAATATTTTCTCTTTTCATTTCTAATAGTTTTAACAGCCATATTACGTTTCTGTTTATATAATTCTTTATTTTGTTCTGTTTTGTTTAATACATAATTTTTGTAAGCCTTATCCCTATCTATAGTTGTCATTCCACCAAACTCTAAATTTTGGAAAAATCTTAATAGTTCTCTTTGGTGCCACCTCATTTAAAACCCTCATTACTTTTTCATAAAAATATATATATACTGAAAATAGTTTTTAATTTTACTTAATCTTACAATAATTACCAGCAGATGTAACAATAAATAATTATTATTTAAATTACTGATAATGGACTAGTATCTTTAATGGCCCTCAATTATATTGACATGTCTCATCATGCTCTAGACAACAATGGTGTCGACTTCTCGAATTTTTTTGAAAAATGCGACATCGTAATTGGTCTTTGTTTGCAGCTCGCATCTCTGGTCCCTTATAAGTGGTAATTCTGTAATTCAATACGTTTATTTTTAACGGGTAATTCTATAACGAATATGATAAAATTTAACGGACGTTAAAAATATAACGTATGTTAAATATGAAAAGCAATTCTGCAAATTCATGAAAAATTTTAACTTTATTCAATTTTCAATAAAAACAAAACTAACCCCAGTAATCTTATAATAGTGCCCTTTTACGGAAAATCAATTACTAACTACAAAAAGTTTATATACACTATAAAAAACAATTTCTAAATAGAATTTGTGCAATTTCAACAGTTAAAATTACTTGAGTACTTTCAAAATGGTTAATTTTCATGATTTTCTTGCATTATAAGTTGAATTAAACATTCAAAAGTCACAATTTCTTATATGTTAAGTTTTAAAGCCTACTAATTAGTACCTGTTAATATCTTCGTTTTAACGCATAAAATTAACACATTTATGTTAAATTTTTAACATATTTCTGCTTATAGAATAGATTTTTGCGGCACAAATGAACTACTATGTTAATTATGACAAGTTAAACTTTTTCATGAATTTGTAGAATTGCTTTTCATATTTAACATACGTTAATATTTTTAACGTCCGTTAAATGTTAACATATTCGTTATAGAATTACCACTATAGTATGCTTTTGTAGTGGGTTAAATGCATCTACTTTACAGAATGTTTCTCTCACTAAATACCTTTTTAAAGAACTTATTAATAAAAAATTTAATATAGATAAAAAATTTCCAAATCTATAGGAACTGGATACTGTCAAGTAATGCTTAGTACCCTCTTTTCTGTAGACAGACACCTTGTTACTAAAATATTTTAGATTTAAGCATCTATATAATTATTTAATCTTTTTAAAAGTTTTTTTAATCTTTATTTTTCGAATAATGTTTTATATTAAGCGCTTCTTAGGCATTTTTTGATTTTTTTTTTATTTCCAACAGTGGCGTCCGTACTGGAAAAAGTGGTACGCCACTGCTTCCTCTTAAAATAAAAAAAAAATATCGGAATCCCGTTAATTTAAAACAAATTTAATTTATTGACTTTTTATTTTCGTACGACTCACCATTTTCACACAAAAAAATTCATTCATTCATTTGTATCTCATTAGACCAATTACGAGAAAAAATGATTAATGTAACTTTGAACAATAATTTAAGAAGATAACTTAAGATAAAACGTTGAATTTTTTTTTTTTTTTTTTCATAAAACTTTAACACCTTGAATCTCAAAAGTTAATACGTTTAGGACATACATTCATATGAAGTTTTTAAAATGGGTCCAAGAATCACCTCCTTAAATATTAGCATGTTATTAAGAAACACCCTGTATGGTATTATTTGTATCATTTTATATTTATTTGTAAATTTTGTTATTATGTGAATAAACTTCTATCTATCTATTCGGCTACAAAAATGGCACACCACACTAAAATGTCCTTAATCTTGTATTTATCTTTAAACTTGACGTACATGATCTTACATTTCAACCCATTATGGCTTTCTCTGTTTAAAGAGAAAGACAGTTTGATATGTTGATTGCTGAACTGTGGGAAAGACCAACATCTAGGTAATTTTTAAATACGTTAATATATTCTCCTTCTAAAGGGTGATGGAGTTTAAAATATATTTTCTGGTAATGAATTTCTGTATACACGATTGATTTCATTTGTTGATTTGATATGTTATTAAAAATCTGTTAAAAAAATGGATTATAGATTCGTTTTAGTTGCTTTAGAATAGAAAACAACATCCTTGGTGTATCGTAATATATATTGGCTCTCTTTTTTACATTTTTCATCTTTAATACAAAATATCTTAAATGAAATCTAGTAACGTTTGTAAAATTAAGAATAAAGACGTATTTAATTAAATTTTTGATATATTTAAAGCATTTTTTTGTAGATATGAAGATCTTCCACCACAGTTATACGACAAAGAGTATTTAGCGGCCAAATACAAGGAACGATCTTACGAAATGATATATTGTCCAGAAAAAATAAACGACGTTCAATTTGCCACGAACAGAACTCTCGACGACACAATGTATAACGATACCCCTAAAAAAAGCGGGAAAGTGAAGAAACAACACAGTTTTACTTCATCCGATAAAAAAACGAAATTTACCAACAAAATTCAAGATTCGACGTCTTCCAAAGTAAGGCTAAAATCAGCCAATCAATACACTCCAATGTCGCTACCTTCCAGCCAAGATCCCAAATCGAAACCAAAGTTCGCGTTCGAACTGAACCTCGACGAAAAATCGCAAAAGAGTGGAAAATTGAAACAAATGTTCGGTGGTAAATCGGAGGGAAAGAAGGAGAAAACGTTTTTGGGATCGCCCAAGTTGCATAGAGCTATTTTTAAGAAACACAGTTCCGGATCTGATTTGAGTTGGCCAGTAGGGACGCCTACTTCTCAGGTTGGTAAAATCGCATTTTTTTTTTATTTATTTATTGAACAACATACGGGAAATTCCCATTATGTTAAAAAATATTCAAAAGTCATTATACATTAATTTACAACTTTTATTTTTAAAACAAACGCAATCAGAGAAAATTTATTTTGAAAATGTTCAATTTTGATGTCTCCATCAAAAAATTACGTAGACTGAAAGAAAGAATTAATTGTAAAATCAATTTAAAAATACACTCTAAATATTATGTATCATTTTTTGCTCTGAATCTACGTAAAATTTTGTGCTGGAGATAGATATCATAATTTTTCATTTTCTAAATTAATTTTCTCAGTTATGATTGCATCATACTTCAAATTACTGAAAAGAGAACTACAATCCCATCCCCTTTTTATTTTAAATTTTCGAGGGGTGCTTATAATTAAGAGAGGTAATATTTTCATATTATAAATTATCAAATTAAGAATAGAAATCGACCTGTTTCAGGATTTTCCCAAAAGTACATAATTCTAAAAATGCATTTATTCCGTACACGTGGACCACACTGTATGTATCTTTAAGTCATCAGCAAAAACTAGAAAATTACTATATTGGAAATTATCTTCAATATCATTGATATATAATAAGAACAATATTGCTCTCAAGTGGGAACCTTGTTGAACCCCTGAGTTTACATCATAATGGATGGACAGACTATCATCTATCCGCACCTTTTGAATTGTTTTTTAAATAGCTATCAAGCTAAGCCGTAAAGGTATCAGAAAGACCAAGAGAAAAATCAGAAATAGTTCTGGTAGGATAATTTAAGGAATAATCCAATAAAATGTTATTTAAATAGCAATTCAATAAAATAGAAGATTTATTGTAATAATTCATTGCAGCAAATTTCCATGTCGCAGAGTACTTATTCACTAGAACATTCACCACCAGTGATATCTGAGCCATTCGAGATCAACATAAGTCCACATGCTGATTATCCAGGGTTGGAGTACCCGCCTGTATTTGAACCTGAAACCTATTCCTTAGCCAATCCGCAATCTAGCTTTAATTTAGTAAGAAACAAACAGGGCAAAAATACTCAATAGTTAAGGGAAGAGTCAATTAGATTTAGACTGACAGAATATAATTGTGAAAATCGTAATTATTTCCAGTTTTTTAATATGTATGTATAATTCCTAATTTATGATTTATATTCCCTTAAAAATTAATTATATTGCTAAAACGGTTAAAAAAATCCACTTCCATATAAAAAAATAGTTTTAAAAATTCCAAAAAACACCTTGTAAAATATTTCATTGTTTTATTTATTTTGTATTGATTCGTTTATATACATAAATTTTTTATATTAATATATTTTGAGAGATATTATGTCGGTGCATGAATTGGACTGTATTTGATTGTGATGAATTGTCAGTTTTAGTTTTTAAGAAATTGTTAGTTTTAGGAAATATATTCAGTATTATTTTGTACATAATAAACTTACAATCAAACCGTTATTATAATTAAGTGCCAAAACATTATTGTTTTGTTATAGTTAAAAAATAAAGCATTTGTTAAAAATAGTTATTTTAATTATCAATTATTACATTTTGCGACCTATTGAAGACATTTGACTTTGTACATCATCAAATAATATTTAAGAAAACTCTTATTCATTTACTTCAGTGAAAAAAAGTGTAAAGAAACAGTGGTTGTCAGAAAGGGGCGGAAGGGAGTAGTCTATCACCTTGACTTATACCGAACTGAAAAAACTGCATTTTTTTGTAAATATTCTGTAATTAAGTCAAAAAATCAACCAAATCTGCAGTTACAAGACTGCTAATAATAATAATATTTATTTCAAAGAGAGAGGGAGATGGCGCCAGACTTACACATGTCAAATCTAAATATGTGAAGGTACTGTATGGTGTGAAAAATCTGCAATGGAAATGAAAGGTATCAAGAAGATTTTACCAAAAAGTTTGATGCTATCTATATAAATCAAAGTTGTTCATTGGTAAGAGCATCACTTGAGAACGGCTGGACTAATTTGGCAATTTATTTCTTTCTAAATGTTCGAAATAGTTCGAATAGGATTTTTAGGAAAGGAAAAATTGAAAATGACAAAAAAAATTCGGGAAAAACAGTGCTTTTCTGATTTTTTTTTGAACTCAAGACATTTATTCACGAATCTCTGTATCTGTAACGTGTGGAGGGTGGGTCAACCCATGGCACTTAGGCCTCACTAGGCCTATTGTGCATCCTCCCAAGATAGACATCTCCTAGCTCGTGAACCAGCCTACAGATTTAATGTAGTTGATAACGTCGCCAAGAGGTACTTTTCTTATATCAACCAGTGTTAGCCAATTCTCGCCGAACACAAATCTTCTAATAAATGGGGGCGTCGGGCAATGTAGAGGATGTGCTATACAGGGGGTATAGTGCATATTCTGACAGCCCATGATATGGAGATGCTTCCATAGTTGGCAATGTCCAATCAGAATACCTGTGATCAGGCGCAGATTTTGTCTAGTCATAGTCAAGTATTTGTTCGCTGTAGTGTTGTCAGGATAACTTCAGAGCTCCCTGGCAAGTCTGCAGCTTCTTGTTTCATCCCATCTTTCGTTGAATTTCACAAGGGAATGTTCCTTAATTAGGCCTGTCACTACCGATGTTGTTAGTCCAATAGAAGGGCCAGGTCCAAAACGTATTTGGTTGGCTGCCTTCTTTTGGCAAGTGAATCGGCAAGACAGTTACCTTTCGATGTGGCGTAACCTTTGATACATCTTAAGTTGACCACATTGTTGGTGAAAACTTCGGCCAAAGCTTCGTGACATTCTATTACTAACCCTGAATAAATTCCAGTCCAGGGAGAGTAGTGCTTGTCTGCTATCTGCATAGATGAGCATGTTTCTTTCAGTTATATTATTTCTGGTGATTTGTTTTTCTGCTATGAGAATGCCCGTGATATCGGTTTGAACTACACTGGCACTACTGCTCACAGCCCATTTTATGTTTAGGTTCAAGAATCTGGAGTATATTATATATCCTGATCCTTGTTTTGTTTTAGATCTGTCGGTAAAGATATGATTCGTACCTATCAGCGTCAATTCGCCAGAGTTGGTTACCTTACTGTGTTGATTTTCACATATACTTTGTTTTAAATCTAGTAGCATGGTGACAATTCACCAGTTGTTTAACTTAAAAATTTGTTTTGTATGATTTATCCAAGATAATACTACACTGTATATTTCTAAAATATTGAGTTTTATCATTTCTGTCAGGATGAATATAAGGTAGGAAATACTTATGTGGTGCGGGACGTTGACATAGTTCGGGGGATAGAAGGTATTGTAGGATAGACGACGGTTATAGGAAGAGCGTCAATTTAGTAAAGATACTGAATAGTGAACCTGAAATGCAACTCAATACAAATAATAAAATAAATGCTTGAATAATGAATGCCCTCGGGTTCGGGTCTTTATGCCCATTTTAATGGCTTTTTGTGACGTCAGTTTGTCCTAGCTCCGGTGGGAACGAATTTGGGTGGATTATGGGCCTTGAGAAATAGTAATTTTGTATCGAAATCTTGTCGAGATTGGTTTTATTATTCGTGAAAAGAAATAGGTATGGAGGTTTTTGGATCGAATTCTCATATTTTCTTTTTATCTTTTCTGTAATATTAAAGACCCCGCGAACAAACATATTGCTTTTATTTATAAAGCATCATAGATAGGATTTAATTATCCAAAGAAGAAAGCAAATTTTCTTTAATAAAATGGAATTAATTATGAAGGTTCCTGGATGATGTAGGTTACAGTGTGAGTTCCTTGTTAACTTGCTGTCAAATGTTAGACCTAGGTACTTCACCTCTGTTGCAAAGTTTAGCTTTGTGTTTAGGATTTCTGGAGGTTTTAATTCCATTTTCATCCTTTCCTTAGTGAAAAGGACCATTCCTGTCTTCTTGAGATTGATATACAGTGAATATGGTCCTTGCACCACTGTTCTATAATTGAGAACTGCTTACATTCTTTCGCAGAGTATGTTTTCAAAATTTTCTGTTTGACGAATGACCAGGTCATCTGCATATGCTATTGTGTAGTGACTATTGAGGGTGTCGAGGACCATGTTCTACAGTAGAGGTGATAGCACCCCTACCTGCGAACATGCCCTCGCAACCAAGCCTCTTATACTCACATCTACACTTATGTTTACTACTCGCTTTGAGAGCATGTTGTGTATCCATCCACTAACCATCTATTGAACAATCCTGTTGTTAAGATTTTCTAGTCGTCTTCCTGAGGTGATCCAACTCGTAGCACCACCATGCCGCAGTCGTCTGATCGTGTTGGACCAGCCTCAGGGTGCAGGATTTTTATAGACATTGTTTATTGTGCTTTGGATAGTGTTCGAGTACTTTTCCAAAGCATTATTATTGTTTGGTGTTTCGGCCTCCACCTCTCTCAAAGCCTCTTGGAGAAGGTGAGCATGGGTTGCCGTGTCCGTCTTCCTAGGATTTGAAGATAACGTGGAGATTGGCAACATCAAGTTTATTTTGAATGTTAACCAGCGGTGGTCTGACATCGAAATGTCATTAGAAATTTGCCAGTTTAGGATTGATTTATAGATACCAGTTCTGGATAAAGTGATATCTATTAGTGTTTGACTGCGAGAGTTTAAAAATGTGGGTGTAGTAGTTTTATTTAAAATACAAAGATGTTTGATAATTATATAATGATAAAGAGACTTGCCTCTAGCGTTTTTATCCTTACTGCCCAACTGACGTGATGAGCATTTGAGTCGCAACCATAGTATTCTCAGGCCGGGCCTACCTGATTTCAAAGCCCCTACATTCATTCATCCAACTTCCATCCCTTGAGTAACAAAACTGTTCTCTCGCTTCAACACAATAGAATCAAAACATTTCCTGTCACGTACACCACCCCAGAAACATTCCATTGCATATCGCCATCTCATAAGTAAACCCATGTCTTACCCATGAAACTAAAACTATTTCGTGACCAAAATTGCAATCTCAGTGTCCACACGCCGTATTGAAGCAAGATTCCATTATGAGATGGGGTAGCTGTGACCAACGTCTCTTCACACACAAGATCCAACAAGTTGGTCACCGATCTCTGTATAAATCACATGTAGAAAATTATTCTGTTGTGCTCCCATCTATCAACCCCTATCGGAGGTCGGCAAATTTGTATCGTTTCGTTCATTACAACTATAATTGCATGAAGTAGTAAATTTCCTCAACGCAAGTGTGTCGTCTATTTACGTTCAATGTACATATGTAAATAAAATGTGTAATCGGTCCCAGAAGCGTTTTATTTCATGGATAAGAAGTTTCTTAATATAAACCCAGTACAGTCCTATCGTATTGGCTTTAGCCGATGAATTTACAGGAGGTCAAACCACCAACGTAAACAGACAAATTGACAGAAGTTGATTGATGAGATATAGGTTTAGGTTGAAAATGAGTGGGATGATCTCATCGCCTTCCACCTATTTAAAGTCGGTATGCTGATTGACGAGATGCATTAATCCACTATGGTAATATGAAATTATTTGAAAAATGATCTACAAATACCAAATATTATTTTCCATTCTTTGAGCATATTGGTAATGAGCAATTTTAATATATCTGTTAATATTGGTGCGTATGGATTTGAACTTTAAAGGCTCTTGATTCAAACAGAATCAAGTCAAAGCTTGTCTGGAACTGTCTTGAATACTAAATGATCTGGCAACCCACAACAAGGTAAAACTAGCGTGGGTACCAGGGCACAAAGGTATCCAAGGCTGAATAACTTGCCAAAGAGCGATCAGATCTACCATTCACAGGACCCACACCTGTATTTGGGATAAGCAAAACCTCTGCTCGACAGACAGTGAACAGGTGGATAACCACAAAACACCAAATTCACTGGCAACAGATAAGAGGGCACATAATCAGTAAGCTCATGTTAAGGAGACCAAACCCACGCATGCCTACTGAGGCACTACAACTCGCAAGGCCTCAGATATTCACCATTGTGGGATTACTAACGGGGCACTGCTTGCTGAAACACCTTCATGTAATGGGATTACACAATGATCCCACTACGTGTAGACTTTGCATGGAAGAGGACGAAACCTCATACCATGTGATCTTCGAATGTGAAGCTCTTACTGGGCGACGTTTCATCCTTTTCGACCTAGAACCAGAAAGAACGCCCCAGGAACACTTGGTAGGGAACCTATTAAAACTAACCAAAGACACAGGACTATTCCATAGATAGTACCTGAATACGGGAGAAAGCAGGGGAATACAATAGACCCCAGTGTTCTGGGCCAAACCTAACCCTACCTGCTTACAACCGATAAAGATGGATTTGAATGTATTTAGAGCCTCAAGAGATCCTGTAAATTAAACCGACTATGCCATTATATCATAAAGGATATTTTATATTATTAGCTATCTTTTTTGGAGTATGTGAAAATAATTTATAACTTTTATTTTTTTATAGCATAATCAACATCGGTTATGTTGTTTACTGGAATTAAAAGTACAAGTCTCAACTGGAATTTTAAAATTAAATTGTACTGAAGAAAAGTTGTTAGTTATGTTATTTATCTTTGTAGGTATGTTGTTATATTTAAGTGCTTGATGATAGTTGTCTCCTACAATAATTTCTTCTGATCTTACAACTTCACACTGTCCGTTACAAAAAAATTAGATCTAATGAGCTATTAAATTTATTTTTAATGATTTATTTGAAGTAACATGCAGAAATTTGCAAAATTTATAGCTACAGGCAGAAAAACAAGGATCGTTTATTAGGAATGTATATTTAGGAATATTTAAATCACCTATTATCATTAATTTCTGATTATAAAGAATCAAGATAATATATAAACCTCCTTGTAAATAAATAAAAAAAAGTAGGGAGACGTTGTAAAAGGGTATCGAACAAGCTTTCATAAGAATAATAAAATAAAATTTGGGTTAATGAACTACAAAAAAAAAAAAAAAATTTTTGGAAAATATTTATTTTATAAAGCATGCAAATTAAACAATATTTTCTAAAAAGTTAATGTTTTCTTAAATAATAGGATCTACCATTAGAGTTCATAATTTCCGTTTTGACTGGAGAATGTAAGCACCATTCGTACCAAACTTTCTCATTAGATTCTGTCCTCCAAAAAGAAATCTCAATTGTTTTACCCTCTTCAACATACACTGGATTCTCTAAAGGAAATACAATAGGAAACCAGCTCACCATGTCTGTAGTATGAGAATCTGGATGAATACTTAGTTTAACGTCTTTATAAAGTATAGTATCAAAATAGCCTACAAATCCTGTAAGTAGACAATTTTGTTCAACTTGGAATACGAGTTTCTTGTACCTCTGGTTGTTGATTTTTTCACTCCAATTTGGATGTGTAAAGTTAAATAAAGGTTGCGGTGGGGCTATCTGATAAAAATTAGCTAAATGTGCTATGTAAGGAGTCTCATAACAAAATTGTAAAGTCTTATCAAGAGGCCTGTTATGCCTAATTTCATTAAAAATCTTAGTACTCTGTAGTGGAGCTAAGTAAGAAGTGTAAGATTGAGGTATTGTTATTCCAGTTCTTTTTAAAAATCTCTGAGCACCATCAAGACACTCAGGTGATAACTCATTATCCCCAAATGATCCTAATAATTCAGACACTAAAATATCTGCCTGCTCGGGAGGTTGGTAAGACCTCATATCTTCTTTAATTAATGTTACTTGATCTGCCCATTCAGTTTTACAACGATGTACTAAGGTGTTTATAGCAAATGGATTTTTCTCAACAGCATAAACCTTTAATTTTCTATCCAAAGTAATTGATACATTTAGTACAGCTTGTACTAAAGGTCCTCTGCCAGCTCCTACTACCATTACAACAGGAACTCTATCAACTGGCAGTGACTGAACAGCTTTCAAAATAGCATTGTAATAAGTGTTATACTTGACACCATCTTTTTCAAATATTTCATAAATATTTGTCTCCAAATGCTCGGTGAGAGGTTGCAAGGGATTCTGGAGAAAATCTTCAAAACCCTGCACAAATTCTGTCATTGTATCTCTGACGTAAAGTTTTTTACCCAGAAAGCTTAAATACCTCACATACAATGACAAATCACATTCGGTGTCATTTTTAATAATATATTGGACATCTAAACTCATAAACTTCTTAATAATGTCTTGGTGTAATCTTGACAGAACAGGTTTGCCATGTTGGTTTATTAAAAAATAAGAAGTGGGAATGACTATAGCTTTTACTGGTTCTCCTATCCATCTCTTTAGCTCATTGTATAACAGTAGATGCTTTATATCACAGAGGTCTAAGACTAAACCTAATCTTTTGTCATAATTGCAGTAAGTACGGAATTCATTCCACCAATCCCAAGTATCATATTCATGTTCTGAAAGTGGACTATATCTGGAAATTAAAATAGGTCAAATGAAATTATTTTATTTTTCTAATTTACAAACAGAAGTTATTTTCATGTCTTAAGTTGGATTTTACGTTTGAAAATGTCCACCTTAATTTTTCTAAAACAGCTTTGTTATAGGAGCCCTGTCTCAGTGAAGTTGGCCCAACCACCCAAAACATGGTATTTGTGAATTTATTTCAGGGCAAATTAAAATTTTATTTGATATATATGTTTGGTTTCTTTAAGTGTTTATGGAAAGATAATAAGACCGACGTGGTTATTTTTAAACAGTTTTTATTTCGAAATTGTTTTCTTTAAGTTGAATGGTAGGATTATCCGCTTAAATAAAATCAAGGTAAGCTTTATAAAACAAATGATAATATTTGACGTTGCTAAGAAGTCTACTTTGACGTTTTAATTCACTTTCCTACATTGGTGTGGTTGTTAACAACTAAAAATCGCTCGTGGTAAAGCTGTTTCTGAAGAAATAATAAAAGTGACCATTCATTTGCATTTGAAAGGCCAAAATGCTTCCCAAATCGCTGAAAGTGTTAATAATTCAAGATATACAGTTCGAAATTTTTGTTAAACTGAACAAAACAACTGGATCTGTGGCTCAAACACAGATAAATGGGAGTCGTCGGCATTATTCCAATGCCAACTTAAGAGCTTTAAAAAGGATTATCAAGAAAAATCGGCATGCTAATTATAACGAATTGAGAACATTATGGAATCAGGCAACGGGAAAACATTTTTCAAAAGCAAAAAAATTTACAAGGTATGCTTAAATTAGGTTTGCTTTCTGTTCGTTTTTAATTCAATATTTCATAGGTAAAAGAGAAGTCCTTACTGTCAAAAATTCTGAAGAAAAATAGACTATCGTGGGCAAATGAATACAAATTATGATTGCCGAACTAATGGAAGTCCATTATTTATTTTTTTTATTGTAAAATAATAGTGTTATTTAACCTACATAGATACAAAATATAATACATTTATCGACGAATCACAGGTATCATGTTTTAAAACTTTGACCTCAACTTAGGTTTAAAGGAGCTCAATGAAAAACCGACAAAATCACTTAGCATATTGGCTGTTTTTGATAGGCGAGAGACAGGAGTGTAATTTGTATAATTAAATGGAACAGCCAACAAACTGTGGTTACGAGTGGTCCTATTCTGAATCCTAAGTGAGAAAAGGGACAGAAGTTCTGGGCAACAAATATTCCCTGACAGTTTAAATAACAAAGTCATTTATCAAAAATGTGTGTTGTATTCTTTTAAATGCTGAGATATGAACTGCGTAATAGGGAGTCCAGACTATAGAAGCATATTGGAGTAACGAACATATCAGATGATTTTTAAAACAACTAAAATAACTTTAATTAATAAATCCTTCAAATTAGGCATTGTAAACCCCAACATTTGATAACCCTTGCTAGTAATGGTATTAATATATTCAGTAGTTTTAATTTGCTGTTATTTGGTTTCATTAATTTTTTTTAATCATCAGTTTTTTGAATTTATATTTCTTTCTTTATAAAATATACATACTTCTTAAGTATAAATAAATTAATTTGTCAAATTTATTTAAAAAACATTGTTGGACCAACTTTCACTGAGACCGGAATTTTTTTTTTTTTTTTTTTTTTTTTTCATTAATTATTATTAATTTTACATGTTGGTTGCAACTTGTTAAAGATTTATAACAGTAAATTTGATACTTATTTTTTTACAATTATTAATGTCACTGGTAAAAACGCCTATAAATAAAAATCTAATAAATAATATTCCATAAAATGATAACAGAGCACTTCACATGAGATTTATGTGTAGGTAAGCTAGCATTGTTATGTATTTAAAAAAAAATAGTTATTTTTTGTATAAATCCTAAACAATTTATAACTAAAATGTAAACTTAATAATAAAAAAAACTCGCTGAAGAAGACCATCCAATTTAGGGGCCAGAAGCTCTGAAACCAACTTTTGAAGTTTCAATTTAAAACCTAATCCCAAGAAGAATTTATATTGAAAACAATGATTACACTTTTCAAACTCCAAAATAAAAAATAACGTGTTTGGACAAAATTTAAATTATTAATAAAATTAAATAGTAAAAACCTCTATACAAGAATCTCTAGCATCATAAACTTTTTGTTAATTATTTATTCTGATACAAGTATCTAAATACTTAACTAGAATACCATAGATAAATTAATATGTAAGATAAATCGTTTAAATACACGGTACTGGTAAAAGTGTTTAGGTGTTTAGTTCCTCAGCGTACTATTTGGAGGCCCCATCGCAATAAGATGAAAGCGATGTTGCCAGTTTCCATAAACTTTCATGAGATTAGAATTATTTCAAACACCTTATTTTGTTTACTGTCAATGTTGATACCATCCATACAATGTCATACTATTGATGGGATATTTTAAAGAGAGGTTTGACAACCTTGTAAAAATGAAAAACGGAATGGGAGGCAGAAGGCGAAATGGGCAAAATACAATAATATAAATAAATAAAAGTTATTTTATTAGAGAGAACAAAATATTAGAATTTGTAAGCTAAAGAAAGCTCTTAGTGTTTCAAAATTTAAAATCAAGAGGGCCTTTGAATTATCCAAAACTCAGTTGTTTTCTGATTTTAATAATAATTTAGATCCGGTTGGAATGTAATTCTTTAAAAGTAGCTTAGAAAATTGTCGAAGAAAAAAAACCCTCTTGGACACCAATTTTTTTTCTTTAGCAATTTATAAAAATTGTGGTCCAAGAGTATATAATTTTTTAACAAAATTCATTTCGTTGCCTAGTAAATCTACTATTCAACAAATTTTAAGTGATTTACCTTTTGAAACGGGCATAAATGTTTCAGTGTTTTCCAGATTTAAAGAAATTGTTAGTAAAATGCCAGAAATTGATAGGAATTGTATTTTAATGTTCGATGAAATAGCTTTAACTGAAAAACTTACTTTTGATTCAGTTAATGATAAAATTGTTGGATATGTTGACTTGGGAAAAAAATTAGGTAGACGCCCAGAAGTAGCTGATCATGCTTTAGTGTTTATGATACACGGTTTAAGGCTTGGAAACAACCTGTAGCATATTATTTTACACATCATGCTATAAATAGTAAAGATCTTACTTTGTTGATTAAAGAGGTTATTACGGCTCTTCAAAATATAGGTTTAAAGGTTTTAACAACTGTTTGTGATTTGATGGGGGAAAACAGGGTAGCTTTAAGATATCATTGCGAACAAAGGGTGGGACTGTAACAAATTTAGAGCCACATTTCTTTCTAAATGGACAGAAAATAATAACTCTTTTTGACACTTGTCATTTACTTAAGTGCACTAAAAATGCTCTCTTCAATTATCACATTCAATATGAAGGGAATAAATTTGCAAATTCAGATTTCATTAAACAAGCTTATTATATAGATCAGTCAAAAAGATTTCAAACTTTTTATAAGATTAGGGAACAATATTTTGATGTAAGTTGGAATAGCCCTTTAAAAATGAAAGTGTCAGTTGCCGCTAAAGTTCATACAATGTCTGCAGCTATAGAAAGCATGATTGGTTCTGCTCCTGGAAGTCTAGCAGCATCTGCAATTGATTATGCAGAATTTGTGGTAGACATCGATAATTTGTTTGATAGTTTAAATAGAAGCAAACCAACTCCAGATTGTGGAAAACCATTAAGAAGGTGTATCTCAAAGAAATCGGCACACATTTTTAATTTTAGGAAAAAGTAGAAAATAAAATAAGGAGTTGATCATTTCATTCTAAATTTGTAAGGAAAAATAATAAAGTAAAATCGAGTTTACCTTTTAAATACTGCTGGTTGATAACCATTAATGGGGTTTTGTGATTTATTTAAAAAATGTTCTTCATTAGGGATAAAATATTTAAGAAACAGATCTTTAAACCAAGATTCTATTGAAAATATGTTTGGGTCCATAAGACAGTGTGGAGCTGCAAATACTCACCCTAATTGTTTTAAATTTGTATCCAATTTAAAGATATCGGTCTTAACTAACTTAGTTTCTAGAAAAAGTTATGGTGCCAATTGGGAACAAGATGAAGGCTCATTATTAGATAATTTAGAGATATTTTTAGTTAGTCAGGAACCGAAGCCTTTAAAAGTGCATAAGTACAATAAAATGTTTACTTTAAATATTGATAAAACACACAAATTATCTTTGTCTGACAATGAATTTGATTCCCAAGCCACAACTTATGTTGCTGGGTTTGTTGTAAAAAAAAAGTCGATTTTGATATTTGCAGAACCAATCTTTTGGCAGATGCATTAGAAACTTGACATATATTTACCATCTTTAAAGAAAATGATGATAAACAAAGGTTGACATATGTTACTGAAAATGTAATATTTCTTACTGATGTGTATATTATCTATTCAGCTCTGAAAGAATATGGACATGTTTGTGGTATCAAAGCAAAACTTAAATCATATTTAATGTCCATTCTTTCTTTTGATTGCCTTTCTTGTGAAACTCACCAGTCCAAAATTCTCTCAGATGTTGGATATATGTATACCTTTAATCATTCGTAAATATTACAATGAATTCAGTAACGACTACAAAATTAATAAAAAAACTGAGAAACAAAAAATTGATGCTTTTCTTTCAGAATGTCACGTACTTGATTTTATTTATTTTTTTTATAGAATTTATTTACTTTTTGTTTTAGAAAAGCATCGCAAAAAAATTTGAAAAACTAAAAAGACAAAAAAAAAACAAAAAATGAAAAACTACTAAAATACAAAAAAAAAAAGAAAATTAAAAAATACAAAAAAAACTAAAAAACTACATTAACTAAAAAATCTAATCTATTTTTTCTGTTTCAGAATGTTCCTGATGTGATTTTGTGTTCTATTTATTTTTATTTTATTTATTTAACAACAAATAGTATCTCTACATTTGATCACCAATTTATTTATTTGTAATCATTTTTTTTATGTATATTATATAGTACTGTTTGTTAGCTGTGATCTTTTTTCAGAAAAAATAAAATAAAAAAGCATCCTTAGTGTGTTAGTCCACCACAGTAAACAAAAAGCAAATTCTCGAAAGAAAATTTTTTCAAACCTTGGAGTTGCTGCTCTTCATTTACTGGCTAAAGTTGACAAGTACTAACAAATTCTTAATTTTTTATTTATAACAATTTTGTTTGTTAAAGAGATTAATCAATTAAGCTATATTTTTCTAAATTGCAGTAAACCTATTATACTAAATAATTTGTTTGTTAAATTAACTTCTATTTTTATAAATTTCAATATAATTAATAGTTAAGAAGTTTCAATTTTTCCTCCTCTTGGATTGAAACCTTGCCTTGGTGAGAGGGCTTGCGAACTTTAATGATTATTATTACATAATTTAAAGGATATCCTTTTGTTGTCTGTCAAAAATGAAAAGTAATTTTCAAACTCTAATTTGTTAGATCAACTAGAACAGATTTGTTTTCAAGTTAAAATAAAATTAACTATTGCACTATGAGAAATATTTTTTTTATAAACTAATTTTAGACTAATTAAAATTAACTTCTACTTATAAGAATTGGCAACATTTTGATAAGAGAAATTATTCAATAAGGTATGTACACTTTTTTTTTATAGGAATCGCCCGGAGAAAACACCAAACACCTGCATCGAAAATTGGTCCATTTTCCAAGAATGAGAGGAGACTACTATTAATTTCACTTACAATTATTGTTATTTAATATTCAGTACATGTTATGTATGTAACAAACGTTTAAATGCACCTTACTTGTATTAAATGATTAAACTATACCTGTTTCAAGTATTTTAGTATAAATATTTCTTTATTTATATTTTTTTGGAGTTTTATTACTTTAAAAAACTAATATTTATGTTAAATACAATATTTTAATTAAAATATTAGTTTTTTTTATTAATGAATTCCAAAAAAATGTAAATAAATAATAAAGTACATTTGAATGAACCGCGGGAAAACTAGATGCTCTTATTTTTATTTTCTTCTTCTCTGCTGCCTTTAACTGTCAAGCCAATCAGCCAATTGTGTAATGTGCAATGATAGCTCCAAATAGTATGCTGAGGAACTAAAACTTGTTACCAGTGCTGTGCATTTAAACGATTTAGCTTACATATAAATTTATCTATGTAGAATACTCAAATTAACACAAAATAGTGTATAATCATCATACTTTTTCAAATTATGCTAATAATCTAGCAATTACACATTTCATTTTTGGTGAACTGACAATGATGTATTGGACAGAAATGTCCAATGGTTTAAGGAGGGGTTTCTAATGCAGAATTGACTGATTAACCATTTCCTAATAAATTTTCCAGAATTAAGTAATATAAAAAATATTTAGGTATGTAATATTCTGCCCTCCTAAGCCAAAAGAAGCACCTTAAAAAAAAAGGTTCTTTTTTTTTAATGCATTGGATAGCTCGAAAAATCCTCATCAGATGAACTAAAAAAAATAGCCATATATCACTTAAAACTTAAAAAAAAAATTACAGATCTCAACTGCACTTGTACTTACTAAAAGGCTTAGGGGTATGCCATCATTACTAAGCTAAATGGCTACATATCCTTATACACCACAAAATCCTCAAAAGTAATATTAAAAAATGAGAAATAAATTAAAGCAATCCAGTGGTACCTAATTATTTTTTTTTTCAACTCTAGGGAATGCGAAAACAACTTTTATAAAGTGTTTTTTTCTCGAAATTCATTTCAACTAAGCTATTAATTGCTTTTTGGCTTAAGAGGGCAGTAAGCTTTAAATTATGATGACTTAAAAAATATTTGCCTGCATGTTATAGACTTTTAGTACAATGATGAAAAAGTTATGACTCCAGAAAAATATTGTTACTTATTTTTATTATAATCATAAAATGTAGGATATATAAGTATTTTTAGGAGTCTAAATTTAAACTGGCCTAAATTTATATACAATCAGAGACAGGTATTACAGAAACTTACCTTGAAGGGTGTGTCATTGGAATATTCACCCAAACACTGAATGATAAACCTGAAACAGTTTTTTCATACAAAGCTCGAGCTAATTGTACATTATCAGGTTTAGTTAAAGTAATCCATAGAGCTGGAATTCCCAAATGAGATGCAAAAGCCAATTCTTGTGCGAAAATACTTTTGCTATGATCCCTGATATGTTCAACTTCACTGTCTAAATCTAACGAAGGCGTAATTTGGGCTACTACTAATCTGCTCCAATCTGAGCTCCTCATAACACGATCTGTTCGCCCTATGGGTGCAGGATTATTATCATTTATGTCTCGTGTGTAATTTGGATGAGTAAGTTGAGTAACCATGAAGTGGTAACCATATTCGAGGGTTTTGTCTACCGATTCTTTGATATTGGGAGGACAGCTAACATACAATCCCACCGACATTCGCTTTCTTTTTTGGTCTCCTTCAGCATTGTCTTCCGGAGGTGGCACTTCCATTTCTAAAAAAAAATATTCCGATAATGTATTGCTTCGAACATTGTGTAATTTACCTACCTTTAGACTAAAATTGATTAATTCTTAAATTATTCAAATATAAATAATGTTTTGATTTCGTTAAGACGTTCAACGTTTTTATGTTTAACCGGCTCAAACCTCAAACTGAGGTTAGATAATGGCTAGTAGTACGAACATGTAACGATTAGTAAAAAAAAAATATTGAAATTTTAGCAAAACAGAACAACGTATCTTTTATTTTAATAATTCGAAAATAGATATAAGTATTACTTGTTGTATTTACAAAATACTAAAATACTCGTTACTTAAATAAGAATATGTACTGATTTATAATTATTTTAAATAAACGCGTTTTGTAATAGTATTCACATTTCACAATGCGTTAATGCCAACAGTGTCAATTGTCATTTACACTTAGGCAATTTATAGAAAACATCAGTGATAAATACAGTACATTTATTCAAATTGCAAATCCCTTGTTTTTGCAGGAAAATCCATTTTAAGAAAAACGTGATAAACCGCTGACGAGTTTATTTTAAAAAACAAATTGCAAAATTTCTATACAAGTACGCTATTACGATATTTTCTCCAAAAAAGTAAAAAAAGTCTTGAGAATTAGAGTAGGTCATTTTATAAAACACTTTCTGAACAATTTTTCGTTCAGAAAGTTACGTTTTGCCGATCAAGACGGGACAGTATACGTTAGGGACTGGTAAAAGCTTTACCGGTCCCTCTTTTTTCATATTTCCGATCGCTGTTTTATAATACAGTCTGCCTAGTTTTCATTATACTATGGTAACAACGTTCTGATTTATTGCAAGTGACAGTTCGTTGATTTTTAATTTGTTGTTTATGTTAAATAGCCCAGGATCCGTAAGTAGGGTCGTTCACCCATCTGTTTAATGGATAAAAGTTTTTTTTTATTTGATAAAATGTTTTTAAATATACCGCAAATGGGTTACCTAAGAAAATACGGTCACGGCCATTTTTTGCTTTTCTTTCTGTATACAGATAAGAAAAGTATAGAAATCATGATAAAAGTTACTAACGATGTCATTCTATATTATTTTGTCCCTATACATGATTTCCCTAAAATGGACCTAATTCGAGATATTTGAGGAAAAATTAAAATTTGGAATTTTAAAGACAACTCAAAAACGGATAAGGAGAAAAACACCAAATTTTTAATTTAAGCTTTAATCTAGCCTGCGGTGAGCTGATTAAAGTTTGGGCATAGTCGAAGCATCTGGGAAAGACTTTACATGGTGTCGTTTTTATTATTTTAAGAAAATAAATAGTCTGGACCGTATTTTCTTAGGCAACCCTTTTGCAGTATATTTTTAAACATATTTTATTTAATAAAAAGAAACTTTCATCCATTAAACAGATGGGTGAAGGTCGACCTTACTTCGGATCTTAGACTAAAACTTGTTTTCGCAAATTTAAAAATATGGATTCAGATTTTGAATTATCTGACATAGATAATGAAATTCCAGAAGAAATTTTGGAAGCAGCAAAAATGTATATTTAACATAAATATTAAAAAAATATTGTATTTGGTTAGTTTATGCAGTTGTATCCATTATCTAGTTTTAGTATTTGTTAATCACTTTATTAAATAAAATAAAATAAATATATGAGTTTACATTGAAGTGTCGGTCTTAAAAAAATATTATACGTCACGCGGCCGAAAATTAGTGTTAAGCAGGTATCTCCAAGCTTCCAGCTCTCGCCTGCGACTCATCCTGGAATCTGCTTGCCTCGACCTGCAAAACACTACTTTCCGGTCTTGTAACGTAAATTACTATTTGATGATATTGGCTGAAGCTGTTTTCCAATCACAAATGCTCCAGTCTTCGTCAAGAAATTTTCAATATCAGTTTCATAGTCACTTCTATTAATTATAACTGTTTGTTTTTTATTTCTCTTTCAATTAAGCCGAACACTCTGTCGGAAGGTAAAAATGAATGTACGACAACCGGAAAAGTAATTTACAATAATTTAATATTGGAAAATGCCTCTAAGTAGTAAGCCAACATAGACATCATCTGACACTATCAAAATCAAACATGATCAGCAAACATATTTGCAACAGGTTATTGTATAATAGCGACATGATTGGTCACCGGCAAATACCAAGTTTTGCAGCTGATAGGTCGAAATAAAAGTTTTGCATCTACTATGGTTTTTTATATGTATTTTGTTCTTCAAAAAACATATACAGAAAAATTATAATTTTTACAAATTTGCAAAAACCGAGTTTTGCATCCAATGTACTCATATATAAGTATAAAAGCGAAATACCACTCACTAACTCATCACGAATTTTACGAATTTTACTAATTTATATAATAAAATAAACGAAAAAAAAAGATTAGTTCATTTAGCCGCCAACCCAGATTCAAACCCAGGCATTTCGCGTGGAAGGCAGCAGCTCTGTCCTCCGCTCCACCGCCGCTTTTAAGATTTTAGTTTTAATACTCGTAATTAAATTAGTTTCATATGGTTTGATAAATATTTAATTTTTTTTTCAAAATGTGGACTAAATAAAAATGCTATTATTTATCGATTCTACACAAAAATAACTCATTTTAATATATATTCAATCTAAATGATTAAAAAGTATACTAACAATTAGTTATTTGACAGAATTGTCACTTATTTAAAATTTTAAAAATATGTAATAGTAATTGGGTGTCCAAAATATGAATGTAATTGGTGGATTTAATTTTTTGCAGTGTTCTCACTATCTAGAATGGATATGATATATATTCGTTCAGTTGAACGCAATAGCATACTTTTTCGTTTTGTAGTCTGTGCGTAGATGAGCTAATATCCATGTCGTTGTAGAAAAATCAAATTTTCTGAACTTTCGAGCACTGCTGATTTTCTGATCAGGTGTTATTTATTATGACCACCAGTCTGTTGCTTCATTTATTGTTGTATAATCACGAGCCGGCATGCTCGTGCGCTTATGGATTATGTTACTACGAATACGGCTTTGTTTCTGCAAGTATACATACGAGGTGTATAAATTAAGTAATGAGACTGACTTTTTCTAATTTTTTTACTGATATAAAATTAGAAAGTCACATTGTCTTCTTCAAAGTAACTACCTTGGCAAGCCACACAACGCTGAAGACGATTCCTTCATTCCTCATAGCAGTGCTGGAACACGGATACTGGAATAACCTTCAGTTGTTCGGTTACTAAAATCTGACAATAAAGTGTCAAACTGATACATTTTAGATCTATCAGTGGTTCATGGCATATATAATTTTTACCTAACTTTGCTCTGATATTGTATCTTAATGAAAATCTGTATCTTAATGGATACCATTAAAGTACAGGTAAAATATATTTTTGATTGTATCTAATTCCGACAAAGGAAAATCCGCAACGATATAGGACGGCCGACATTTTGATATGTTCGACGAAAATGTTAAAGGAAATGTCAGATTGAATTTTGTTGAAAAATTTTTTTACTTTTTCAATCGATTAATTCGTTACTTGTAAAATACCAAAAGTAGAATAAACTGTGACCAGAGATTAGCATTAGTTGATTTGTTGTTTTTTTCTGTGATTCTGTGATTATGTGATTAAAACATATTATTAGTGTGAAGAGATACAAAATATAGGCGAATTTCTTCAAAAATTATTAAAAATTGAACCAGTTCCAATAACATCGTCACTGAGTGGAGATGTTTCTCAAATTAGGAACATGAAAGCAGAGGATGAACCTAAAATATGTTTGTCTCATAAATAAGGCTTTTTTTAAAATATAGGGCCGGCATTTATTTTCCTGCACAAAGGCGACCGAGGATCTAAGAATGACCCTGTGCTTACCCCTCAACGTGCCGCGTTTCCAGTGTTGCCAGATCGGACACTAGAAAATCAGCCTCATTACCTAATTTACTAATATTTTTAGCTCAAAAAGGTTGTCGTGGGTTGATCATAAAAATATATAACCAACTTCGAAGAGTATTTCTGTCGAGATTTCTCTGGATCATCTTAACATTGAAAATTGGGATGCATAAATCCTAGACTTTTGGTGAAAAAAACCCTACTTTTCTTTAATACTATAAGATTTATTGCAAAAAATTATAGGTTCACTTCCATCCAAAAAACGATCTAATTTCACTTTCTAAACGGATCGAAGACTTATCGAACTAGACTGGATGGATTGGTATGTATTTAAAATTAAAATTAAAAATTTGTAAACAATTTATTGAAATGAATTTACAATTTTAAATTAAAAGTGGTTCTGTACTTCTAGTTTTTAAAAGATATACACCTCTTGCATTCAAATTAACCCATTGTCCAAACACAATTTTCTTAGGACGAGGTAGTGGAGTAAAAGTAGCATTATCATCTTCATCAAATGAAACTAAAATTTCTTCACTCATAACTTTCTTCGTAATTGATTCTACATACAATACTTGGGATCTTTTGTGACTGCAAAAATCTGAAAAATATATTTTATATCACAGTAATATCGTAGAACAAAACTAGACTTAAAATTTGGAGCTATGCTCTGTTTACGTTATATTTGGGGCCTGCTAATGAAAATGTTGTTGTCTACTGTTAACATAGATTATTAGGTACTCTTAGATATATAATTTGATCTATAGAGGTTTTGTTGTTCGCCGAGAACAAGAGGCTTCTCCAGAGGTCCCATTCTATTAGGCTTTTATTCTATTTTACCAAAATTTTATTAATATATTAAAAGTGTTAATTTTACTATTAGTTACCGTTTTGTGTGGGATCTACTTCACATCCCGGTTGAACACTTCCGAAGTTCACGTACCAATCGCAATGTCCAATGGTTTTCTTGTAACCAATTCTTCTGGTATTGGTATGAACTACATCCACGAACAAAGCATCAGTTTGATTTAGTCGGCTTTCCGGGAAAGTACCAGCAACCTCCATTTTACCAGAAGATTCCAGAGCTGTGATTCGACCTAAGGTTCTAAAAGTTTTGGCTGTAATGTATTTGCCTGCATGACCTGCAACGTGACTGCCGAGAGCAAAACCTTTAAAAAAATAATGAAATTTAAAAAATTGCGTAATAATTGTAAAAAACATATTGGGTAAGAATGGAAAAATTACGCAGGAAGCAGCGTGTGTTTTTGCCTGATTTCCATAGTGGCCATAGATAAACGTTTGAAATTAGGAATTTGTACTTACCAACAATCTGTATAAGCTCTGGTCGAAGCTTAGCGCCTAAAATGGTTTGAGCAAGATATTTCCCAACTCTTTTTACGTTGTTACCAGCCGCGCTCAATAATGGACCAGCAGCTGGTGTCCAGTTGACCAAAATAATATTATAAATGTTAAGTTTAAGAAAAGCTTCCTTAGCTTCTTGAATCCAATTTTCTGTAATTGTACCTCTGTAGCCATGAGTGATGATGATGGTTCTGTGATGTTTATTTAATTTTGATATATCACATTTTCCTGAAGAGGCTGTATAGAATTCATAAGTAACATCGTTTCTTGTGGCAGTGGCAAGGCTGAAGTCAACCGGTGTCAGTTCTATTAAACATAACAGTCATCCTTTAGTCAAAATAAATTCGAAAAACTCTAGAAAACATAAAAATTCAACAAGATTTAACATAATTGAAATCATCCAGAACCATTGTGAGATATTTAAGAAACTCTTAGTTTTCCTCACAGAAAAATATTCAAAAATCATGCCCTAAAATATTTTATATAAACTTTTCGTTCTTTAAGGGTTAATTTCACATTCTTAGTTTGGCAACAAATTTAGATTCTTCTTGAAATTTAATGAAAAACAGGAACCTACTTTTTATTTATTTTCGATATTAATATTTATTAGATACTATTACTTAAAAGTTACATAAACATACGTTTAAAGTAACCAAATTATGTAAAAAAAATTGTCATAACATTAGATAATTTAAATATTACTTGTATTTCATAAGATTTATTGCTCATATTTTGGTCACATTTACATAGCTTATCGAGATAAATTTTTAATTTTAAATTTATGTATACTTTAGATAAAATTTAAAGTAACTAAATTATGTAAACGATTTACGTCAGTCCTTGCTAGAATGGATGTATGAAATTATATCGTTCAGTAGACTGACAGGCAGGTCCGTTCGTAGGGGTGTGCAGGTTGTGTAGGCACAAATGCGGCCAAACTTAAGGGCTGCCTCAGGCCTTCGGCAGAAAAAGTTAATTACATATACTCTTGTGACGAAATCACTAAATTTTATTTTAATTAAATTTTAAAATGTTTATTTTAATTAATTCCCGCCTGAGGACATGTAAATATCCCGTATTTGTGTTTCCCAGGAATTTCCATTTTCAAACAATTGCGAGTACCCTCGTAGGATAAAATATTTCTATATTTGCCGAAATCCGAATGGGCATTTGTAGATTCAATTTTGTATCAATTATCTACTTGTATTTGTCAAGGTACTAGTAGGATATTTTTGTTTGTTTTTAAATTGTAAAAAGTCGGCTGTAGTGGTGGTCTCTCCCACTCCGAATTGCCGGGCTTCGAGCTTGCCTATTGAAAAGGCATAAATTAGATGACAAGTGGGAATTTGCTCTCTTTGATTTCCGGCCATCGTAGGCTCTCTGCCTCTTCTGTTCCCGACCAGCGACGTCTCTGTGAATTTCAGTATTAGTTGCCGTGCCGTTAAAATTTGTTAGTTCCAATTTAACAGTGACCGAATTATTCCCGTTTTCTAGGAAATTGTCTGATTATCATTTTACAATTAGTTTGGGACATCCGTCCAATAAGTGTAAGAATTTTTGATTCATATTCAGTATTTTCATTTCATCCCTTAGTGGGAAACCGTTGGCAATTTTTATTTGAGGCTGGGTTTAGGCTTAACTTTGAGTGCTTTCAATTTCGACGACTCTATCCAATCTCTTTTAGGAAACGCCCAGTTAACGCTGGAGTGAGAGGTTCAACCCGATTTTATTTTTTTTATTATCTTTGGGAAGCCGCCCAATTTATTTTCTCTTTCGGAGGTTCGATTCGTTCTTGAGTCATAAGTGCTCTCAATCTCGACGACGTTATCTAATTTCCTTAAAAGAGGTCTAAATTAATTGTCGCACCACACTTCGTGTAAGTTTCATTTTATTTATTTAATTTTATTTAAATCATTCCGTTTCTCGTCACCAACAAATTTTTAAATGAAGCCCGACGTTTTCTATATTTTCTAATTCACGCACCGCTTTGATCGATATTGGCAAATCTCCAACGAATTATTACTCCTTCCATCGCATGGCATGACTTCGTCTAAAAGCCATGGTAGATATTGTAATTCTTTCTCGATGTCGGACCATCGCCGATAACCAGATCACGACTAGAACTCGAATACGGGGGGGGGGGGGTGCCAAAATCATTATTCAAATTAATAGTAGTGTTTGCCTGTACTGTACAAGCATTATACGGAGTGGCCCAAAAGTCTGGAAACGGCCAATTATCTCGTAAATTGCTAGTCCTAATTGTACAAAATTTGGGGGGTACACCTATTTTGGGATACGGAGATTCCAGATTTGAACATTTTCCGTTTCTCTTATATTATTAGTCACTTTGATTTTTCAAATTGATCACCCTGTATATTAAGTCATTATTGGAATATCCTATTTAATACGAGTTCACATATGCAACACTTATGATTTTATGTAGTCTGGAAGGTCTTAAATAAATAAAACAATCATGGAGAAATGTGGTAAATGCACTCTATCATCAATTAGGGTACTGTCAACTCACAAATGGAGCACATTTTGAACACTTGATAAAGTAACCATTATATTAAAAATGGTGTAATCTTTCAATTGTTACGTTTTAATGTAGTTGAAAATAGTTTGTATTAAAAAATTTATGAGACAATTAGGCGTTGCCAGACTTATGTTTTATTTTTTTAAGACCTTCTAGACTACATAAAATCATAAGTGTTACATACGGTTGAACTCGTATTAAATAGGAGATTCCAATAATGACTTAATATACAGGATGATCAATTTGAAAAACCAAAGTGACTAATAATATAAGATAAACGGAAAATCTGGCAACATTGCAAATATCAAATCTGGAATCTCCGTATCCCAAAATAGGTGTACCCTAAATTTTGTACAATTAGGACTAGCAATTTACGAGATAATTGGCCGTTTCCAGACTTTTGGGCCACTCTGTATATGATTTAATTTTGGTTATAGTAAACTTCATTTTTCTAATATAGGGAGTGCCGTAGCTACCCGTTTTCTTTTATTTTGGAGCTTCTCAATTGGTCAGCCGTATTATTAAAATGAATTACTCTGTTTGAATTAATTACCGTTTATCATTTTGACCAGAATATTTAATTTAATTTTGTTTATTGGGAAAATATGTGTTCCGTATACCGTAATGTATATAATTTCCGGCTTGAATATTTTCCGGTATTAGTGAAAGGTAATACTTACTTTAATTTAGTGGAAATTTTAGTCTTTTTTACTTTCCTATCTGTATACAGATATAAGGAAAGTATATGAATCATGATAAGTTACTTCCCTATCAGGAATAAAAAAACGCACTACCTACTCCTTGTTGGTCCTTACTTTTATCGGTGTATATAGCTAATTTAATATTTAAGTTATATATTATTGTTGATAATAATAATTTTTGATTATAGGCGGGTATATCATTGTAATGGGGGAATATAACTAGCGATTTTGAGAAAATTGAGTTGTAATCAAATGTAAATGCTAGTATAGTTACTGAGGGATTTATGTACTCAACAATCTCCTGTATGTATAGAAAGGCAGATGATAGTAAAAGTGAGTTCTTTTTACGCCAAAATTTGTTGGTTAGATCCTCTGTATTTAATTAATTTATTCGATTAACTAATGACTAATTCTTAGTTTAGTTATGTGTTTGTTAGCTAGGTATTGTCGTCTAAGATATTGGGGGTTCATTAACTTCCGCCAGAATTACATTGCATGGAGATGATTTCATAGCTCCAATACAAAGTCGTACAGCTTTGTACTGGATTCTATCGACCTTTTTTAGATTTGCATTTGACGAAGACCCGTAGAGAATCAATTATGGACCTAATAAACGACTTGTAGAATAAAAGTGCAATTGAAGGTGTGGCACCCCACGATTTCTTTGTGACACAACGCAATATATTAATACCTTTCTCGCATTGATTTTTCATATATTCTATGTGCTGTGTCCAAAGCAATTTCGGGTCTAGTACTACTCCCAAATACTTATACTGCGCGACTATGGGAATCGACATGTCTGCCAGATTAATATGTGTGTTTAATGTGATACGAAAGCACATAAACGCAGATTTTTCAGTTGACTCTTTGTGAAACCCATCTCACTTAACCGTATTTTTAGTATTTGTAGAACTTCTTCAAAGTCGTTTAAACATTGGTTATAATTTTTACGGCTAACATAAATACAGATATCGTCGGCATACTGGACTAATTTAATATTATTATTGAACTTACTTTGTAATTCGGACGTATATACATTAAAGAGAATAGGGCTAAGGATGGAACCCTGAAAGAGACCGTTGTACACTAATCTTGGACCATATAACTTCTATCAACACTGACCCTTAACAATTCTTTAAACAATATATTCAAATTGACTGAGTCATATGCCCCTTTTAAATCAACAAATAGACAAAGGAGATATTCGTTTCTAGAAAGAGATAATTGTATATCAGTGGTTAGTTCTGATAATATATCACAAGTACCCTGACCTCTCCTATAACCAAACTGTGAATGAGGAAGCAAAGTTTTGGATTCTAAGTGATATTCAAGCCTTAATTTGATCATTCTCTCAAATGTCTTGAGTACACAAGACATCAGAGATATTGAACGATAAGAAGAAGGTAATGCTGCATTTTTACCCGTTTTATATATTAAAATAATGACCACTTTTTTCAGTTCTTCTATAATTTTTCCTTTTAGCCACCAGTCTTTGAAAATATTTAAAATTAGTAACCTGGCAGATTCCGGTTCCAGGAGAGGTGTTCTTTGAATTTTTTACAGACATATTTAACTATGATATATTAAATGGTTTATTTAAATCATTTGTTTCAATTTGAAGGTATTCATTATATTTTAAGGGTGATTTACCGGAAACATAGGGGAGAGCATAATTATTTAATATTTGGGTTACGACTTGTTCAGAAATAGGAATTTTGTGACTTACTTTATTTGTATTTATAGATTTAACTATTTTCCAGATTTCAGATATAGATGAGCTTTTATTTAACTTATTAATATACGATTTCCAACTTTTTGTTTAAACAGCCGCTTTGCAGCAGCTTCAATGTTTTTGTAAAATAATTTTTTTTCCAAATTGGATAAAGTTTTGTAACTTTTAAGCACCTTTTTTCGTTTTTTAACCATATCCGTACATTCGGTGTCCCACCAGCATGATCAGATGGATCTAGTGGTAAAAGGTTTATTTATAATCATGGTATTGTTGGCAGTGGTATTTAAGGTTTCGACTAATTTATTAAATTTTTCCAGAGTTGTCATGGAAGAAGTATCACTGTTTTCTAAGCCGCATTTATAATAATTTCAAAATATTCCAATCTACGCGAGAATCGTTCCATTTGCGGCTAGGATAATTTTTTTTAATTTTGTTATCAATTTCTGAGTTAAACAGGATGGGAAAGTGATCTGATCCATATAAGTCAGGGAGTACTCTCCAATTTAACCTATCAATTATATAAGATGACGTTACAGATAAATCTACTGCTGATAGATTTTGTCCAGGCAGAGTTATACGTGTGGGGCTACCATCATTCATAACAATTAAATCATAATTATCTAATGATTCTATTAAGCATTCGCCTTGAGTTGAGTTATCTGAACAGCCCTATGAACCGTGATGACAATTAAAATCGCCACAAAAAATTATTTTATATGAAAATTGTTGAAAAAGTCTATCCCAATCCATTGTATTTACAGTAATATTCGGAGGTTTATAGATTGAAACTATATTTAATTCAACATTGTTGATACTGACAGCACAGACTTCAATGGCTTGATTGAAGTTGTTTTTTAATACAATTTCTTTGAAGTATATACTTTCTGCAACCAGGATAGCTACTCCGCTGTAGCCATCCTGTCTGCATTTTATAATCATATTAAAACCTTTTATGTTAAAATTAGCATTTTCTTTCAACCAAATTTCAGATAAGACATATTGATTTCGAACTCCTTAATTAGGTTTAAAAGTTCAAATTTTCTAGTAGATAGGGATCTAATATTCCACTGTAAAATGTTAATATTATTTTTTTTATTATGATTAATCCTAGTATTCAGAGGCATCGCTATCACTTAAAGTATAAGTATCTATTTTTTTATTACTAAAATACGGGCTATCCAAAATTTGACAAATACTATTTTTCAAATTTGTTCCGTCATAAAATTGATTATTGTAAATGGCGTTTTGAACGAATTGCACTATGTACTTGAGTTAATAGTTTTTCTTTGAATTCCATAAAATCGTTCCTGTGAGGATTTGGAAGAATGGAAGAAGAAGCTTTTTAAGCGCCAACTTTTGAAACAGTAGGGGGAGTTTGTAAAGGCGACGATGCCTTGTGTTTTTTTAATGGTGACAAATTTTGATTTGATGTTGCTTGTTTTTTTGGAGTAGGTTTTTTTAAAATAAAATTAGTTTTAGGTTCTGGTAATGCTGGGTAGTTGTTTGTGTCACTTAAAAGGGAGAATCTGTTATGTGTAGTAATCTTGGCATATGAAGGGTTATCAACAACAAATTTAGCTTCTCTGAAGGTAACATTTTCCGTTGCCATTACTTTTTTAATATTTGTTTGTTTTTTAAAAATTTGACAATTTTTTGATACCGAACTGTGGTCAACACTTTTATAATGAACGCATAATATTCCATTATTGATACAGGGATCGTCACTACAATTTTCAGCAGCGCATACCTTACATCTAGCTTTTCCCCTACAAAGCATACTAGTGTGCCCATAACGTAAACACTTGTAGCATTGAACTACTGGATAAAAATAGGGATCTACGGGATTTACTAAGTTAATTTTAACATTATCAGGAATTCTATTTCCTAAAAATGTTAGAATTACCATGTGCCTATCCACATATATAGCCGTTCCATCATTAATTATTTTTCGTTTCATACGCTTAACTTCTGTTATATGTATGTTATATGCGTCTCATAACCCTTATCTTACATATCAAATTACAGGCTTTCCTTTCTAAAAAACATATTATGTTACAGCTTTCGCAGAATGCAGCGTAGATGCACCTGCACTTCTGCTGATGCTGAGGTCAGCATATGCGACCTTATTTATATGACCATTCTTGTATTATGCTTTAGTTTTTAACTCACATTCATACGCACAACATGTACTAATCTTTCAATATATTCTTTAACAAGTAATACCTTTTTTAAAAAGTTAAATTAGATCCATGCGATCTAACAAGTGGCGCAGTCAGTAGGATTTCGGCGAACAGTGCTAAAATACGGCTACCCTAACTAGCATTGGTGGAGACATCCTTAACCAGAAAAAGAACCAATTCATCGAGCTCTGCGGACGGAACACCCAGTGAAGCCCCTGGCAGACGACGTGAACAGAAGATCGATGCTACGATTCATGTAAGTAATTGAATTGTCTCGATTGATTTAATTTATTTAATTGATACAAAAACTTGTTCGATTATTTAACTATTGCTATTATTCAATTTGTGTTTTACTAAACATATTAATAATTTCTCAAAATGAATAACGGTAACCCTAACGTAGATGACGCAAACAACGCGAATCAAAATAATGTTAATATTCAAGGTGGTGTAGCTCAACAGGTACCCCACGTAATAGAACCCTATAAACTCAGTGAAATATTTTCCATCGTACCAGAATATGATGGTAATCCAATTTTTCTTGCAAATTGTGTGAAATCCTGTAGTACTGCCTATAGGATGTCCGTAGACGAACAGCGAGCACTTCTCGTTTTACATATTAAAAATAAATTACGCGGCAAAGCTTCTGAATTAATAAATTCTAGAAATCCGCAAACTTGGCTAGAAATACGACATTTATTAGAAACCCATTTCGGTGACGCTAGAGACTTAACAGCCTTAATTCACGACCTGCAGAGAATTGATATATATTTTCAAGATCGTATACTCTTGTTTTAATCACAGGTGTAGATGACATATTACTATCGGAGTTTTTATCAGGCGGACCAGCCACGCCTGAATTATCCCCCATTTTTTAACAATCAAAATAAATTGTCAAGTTATGTTACTACTGAACAGTATTAAAATTAAAAATGAAATTCTACTTATCTTTTTGGATAAACTAAAACCACTTTTTCTGACGCGCTCGCTGAGACTACCTATCGCCACAAGAATACGAACAGAACTGTATATGACATTTACATTTGGTATTCTATATAGTCATTAATAGAGTCAGTCTCGTTTGTTATTAAAATTTTAAAAATCATTTTTTGGAACACTGATAAACTATTAACTTCAGAAGACAATTTATTATAAAATCTTAAGATATTATAACTTACACTTTTTTAGTGTAAATCTATGTATAGGGTAGTTGTAGCAGAGATTTCTTATGGTATATTTATTTGGGGGTTCAAATATTTTAAATTTATTTCTATTCTTAAAGAATTATAACAAGCACTCCTGTATAAATATTACATAAAGGGTAAGTAAATTACATCTCCTAAACTGCCCCCTACAAGATTCATTAAATTTTAAGTCTGCTACCATTCTTAATGCTCTTTTTTGAGTTATAAACACTTGATTTGAATCTCTGCTGCAACCATTAAATATAATACCTTATCTAATAATCTAATATGGGACTCAATGGTAGAATGGTATACTATTTTCATCGTTTCTCTTCTTAAGTAATTTGATAATACTCTTAATTTTTAACATTCATAATTATTATTACTGAAATGACATTATCAAGCTGCATTCCCAGAAACTTCATATTGTTGTTTATTATCATGATGCCCTGTTGTAGATTAATATTATCAGGTAAGTGATGACTCATGTAATTTGTTGTTATAAACATAAAATTAGTCTTATCCTCATTAAGTATAAAATTGTTCATTTTAAACCATTGATTTGAATTGACTAATACCTAATTAACAGCTTCAATCATTTCAGGAAAGCTGTTGGTTTTCATTAAAAAATTTGTGGCATAACTCACAGTCCTGCAAATGCTATGAGTAATGCATGATTCAGGTCATTTGTATAAATCATGAATAGGACCGGGAATAATATGCTTCCTTGTGGTACCCCAATAGTTACTTCACTTACCTCTGATTGCCCATTAATGTTATTTTTTGTAACTACCACTTTTTGTTTCCTATTTTCTTTGTACGATTTAATCCAGTTCAAAACGGATCGTCTGACTCCGTATCTTTTCAACTTTGTCAGAAGAATACTGTGATTCACATAGTCATATACCTTCGATAAGTCTAGAAAGATACCCATAGCTAGTTTGTTACTTTCTAATGCATCTATAGCGTCATTTATAAATTGAAAAATTACAGTTTGGGTTGATTTTCCCCTCTGATGCCCATGTTGACTAAACATTATAGATTCATTATTTCTTAACCAGTCCATTAACCTATTACACATAACTTTTTCAAAGATTTTTGAGAATGAAGATAGTAAACTGATGGGTCTGTAGCTGTAGACCAGTTCAGCATCACCTTTCAACATCACCTTTTAATATATAGGCTTTATCACAGATAATTTTAGGGCTTCTGGATATACACTAAATTTAAAAGAGTTAATTAATATAAATTTTAATTAGATAAATGGGTTTATGATAATGCTCGTTGGTACATCATCATCACCATAGCTTAATTTGATCTTTAATTGTTTGATGACTTTAAGAATCTCATCAGTGTTTACCTCATAAAAAACGCTATTCGAGGAAGATCAACACTAGTTATCAACACTAATTATTACTGATATCTCCATTAACTAGAATAAAATGCAAATAATTACCAGCTCTCTAAGTTGAAATTTATAATATCTTGCACATCTTATTACAAATTCTATATTTACCTGGATTAATACATTCAACATTAGGATCTCCTTCCATTATTGAAAGAATACAAACACACGTCTGTACATTGTTAACAATGTCACATTTTGCGTTTATTCCACAGGTTTTTGTACAATCTAAAATAAATTTAAAAAGTTTATGCACATTGTTGTCTTTCATAAGGCTGGTTAGTAACTGTAGAATATTGATGATTGAATAGCAATACAACACTTACCCGTTTCTTGTGTGTAATATACAAGAAAGTTGGATAAAAATAAAAATGAAAATATCAATATTTTGTTCATTATTTAGTTAACAAATATTACTTGGTTATTAATGCGATCGACTAACAAAAATTTTTTTTTGTACCTATTTATGTAGGTATTTTTAAAATATTGTTATCACATAATAAATGTGGTAACTATAAGATAAAGGTAAGTAAAATGGAACATGGTTATTTCTATACAGAGTGTTACTATAATTAACTAATTGCATATTGGGTGACAAATATACAGGATGTATCATGATTAATTTATTATTCAGAAACTCAGAAACAAAGGAGTATCTGAAAATTTAAAAAACACATTTACTTTTAATGTGAAAGGGATGAATTATCATGTAAAATTCATACCCAGGGACTCAATTCTCGACTTTTATTCCCATGGGAATTCAGTTTTCGTATTCTCGACATAAGCGGTGGAATATTTTCCAATGAGAAGTATGGGAAAATATTCCCCTGCTTACAAGCATTGGAAATTGTGTTTTCCAATGGAATTTTACTAGAAAATTTGACGAAAGACTAACAGATAACCAAAGATTTTTGGATATCTTGTATTTTTGGTGAAATTGCATTTTTTTGGCGTATTTATAGTTTGTGCTTATTATTGATTGATATTATTTAATTTATTTAGGTATATTACTTTTACTTCTCTTTCACTAAGAAACTGTATAAACCGATTTTCTTAATCAGTTAGAAATTGTGGGAGCTGCTGAGGAACTGGCAAATAATATAAATTGAAAAATTTTTAGTAAATTGAATAATGAAAGAGACCCTTTCGAAAATTTTATTATTTCTTACAGCCTTATGCATAGTCAATCGCCAGCGATTCGCCAGCGGATCGCTGCTGATACCGCCGAGATGAATCTCTGGTGAATCGCTGGCGACTTGCTGGAGATTGTCACCGGCATGTCATTTCTCGCAAGTTTTCATGTTATTTTATAGGAAAAGTTAGTTTTCATGTTCTTTTATGGGAAAAAATTTGATATTAGTTCATTGTTTTTTGAGTTTTAAGAAATGAATCATGAATAACATGCGAGAGGTGCCAATTACATCAGCCCTAGTAACAGATCCTGCAGATGTCGGCGTTATCAGAGTTACCAGTTTCTAGGAAACCGCTCATTAGGACTTTATGCATTTTATCTAGTTTTCTCATTTTTAACATCATTATACATTTATATTTCTTGTAGTACAGATCGTAGTTGTAGAATTTTAACTTAGAAAAAATAATTAAATTTTTTAAAAAGCTATTTTCAATTTGAAAGTTTATTTTTGGCGCAGTCAGTAGGATATCTGGAATTGTCGCGTATCGAACGTGCTCGATTTTCGTCTCTACGATTAACCAGATATCGAACAATAAAACTGTTGTGATTCGCGAGTGAAGGTGTTGGATGTGGAGTGGCTCTCAAGAAATCGAGAAACCCAGTCTATCGAAGACCCATTGAAGAACCCCAAGTCGAATAGCAACGAGGATTGGAACAAAATCGTCCAGTTCTGCAAGGCTAACGAATTTTAGAAGAAAATTCGATTCCTTATAGTTATAGGCAGGGATATGCTCAAAACAGAGTTGGGTCGAATACTGAAATCCGGTATTCGAATACGAATCCTGAATACTGTATTCTAAATTGTATTCGAATAACCAATATTCGAATACAAGGAAAAAAAGTATTTGAATACCGCTGTATTCGAATACCTGGATTCATTTACATATGAATACTTTATGAATATTCCAACTACAAATAACATGTGCGCACATAAAGCTTGATTATTATTTATGTAGTTAATTTATAAAAATATAAAAAATAATTAAAAATCTATGTTAAATAAAACTTGAAACATCATTTTTTGAAACACAGTGTCACAGTGAGGTTAAATAAAATAACTGTTTTATAAAAAAACATTTGTTGATTTTTATTTCCTAAAGTTTTATTAAAAAAATATAAATAAAACGATAAAATAATGAAAAAGTTAAAATAAAATTCTTTGGTACACCTTCAGATAAAAACACAAACTTATTGTTTAATAAAAAATAAACAATTCCCATTAACTATAACCTATACCCTATAACCTACTTACTTATACAGGGTGTCCCACGAGATACACCTCGGACCATAACTCCATAACGACGCAATTTTCGAAAACTAATTTTAAAAGATAGCTTTTTTTGAATATACATAAAAAAGGACTTTTACAAAAATTTTGAAAATTGCGCGGTTATGGAGTTATAAGCCTAAGCTAATCTTCTAAAGCCATTAAGCGACTTGCTCGTCTCGCTCTTTCGCAATGACTAAATTTCACCCCGATCACCCGATCGTCGGCATCGCGAATTCAGAAGCACTGCGACCTCGCCGTCCACAACCACCGAGAACGTGTTTTAATACGCTTAAGTTCAGTTAAACGTAACGCTATATTCATAGAAATAATCAAACACTATTCGAAAACAGGATTCGAATACCGGGATTCGAATACAAAGTGGGTATTCGAATACTATGATTCAAAAATGGTATTCTGAATCCAAAATACCGAGTACTGACCAAAAAAGTATTCAGTCGAATACCGAATACAGAAAACATAAATGTATTCGAATAGTATTCGAATACCAGCCAAATGTATTCTGAATAAGATTCAGAATACCGGGTATTCGAATACTACCCAACTCTGGCTCAAAATCAGTTTTATTTTAATGTGAGTAACTTTTATTTATGTCTATCGAATCACTATTGAATTCTTTAGAAAACTTAAATATCGACAACACTTTAACTGACTCTGATAATAACTCTCAAGTTAATTTAATTGAAAATATAGATTCACAAAATAATAATAATTTTTCGCTTCCTAACTTAACAAATAGTGAAACAAATTTAGAAAATTCGGAAGATATGGCCGAATTCAAGCCGGAATATTTGCATTGCGTGCCTGAATTCGACGGAAATCCGAACGAGCTCTATCGATATTTATCAATTTGTGATTCAAGCATTGCCAGTTTTTATATAGCAAATCAGCCGAATAATTTCCGAAATATATATTTGTTAAACTCACTTGTTTCTAAATTAAAAGGGAACGCCAGGTTAGTGGTGAACATTCAAAATGTCGCAACTTGGGAAAACTTAAAAGATACCCTTACTAGAAATTTTGCAGACCAAAGGGATGAAGCTTGTTTAAATCGTGACTTAGTTTTGCTTAGACAAAACCCTAATGAACGACCTCAACAATTTTATGACAGGGTGTTAAATATACTAAATCTCCTCTGTAGCTTTGTAGATTTACATGAAGAAACTCTCGAGAGTAAATTACTAAAAAGAGAACTTTATAATAAATTAGCTTTAAAAACATTTTTGTCAGGTCTTAAAGAACCTTTAGGTACTACGATTCGTTGTATGAAACCTAACTCATTAAATAATGCGCTACAGTGTGTTTTGGAAGAAGATAACATACACTACTTTCAAAATTTTCAGAATAGGAATCTAATTAGACAACCTATTTCACAACCACGACAACAGCCAAGACAAAATTTTAATAATCAAAATTATCAAAATCGAAACTATTTCAATAACCAAACGAGCTTTATTCCTCAAAATGCAAATAATAATAATAATAACTACATGGCACGACGTCCTTTTCCTACTGGGCCCGTCCCTGTACAATCTCAGGTTCCAAGAAATCAATTTTTTCCATCTAATTCACAAGTATTTAAACAAAATAGAAATGTAAACGCCTTTAGACCAAACCAAATTCCAAATCAAAATTTACCTAGGCCAACGCCTATGAGTGTTTCGACCAGAAATACTTTTAATAACAGAGCACCTACCCGGGTTATGAACCAATACGGTAATGATCACCAAGGTCCTTCTAACCAAAATCAAACACCACGAATGAATTATATTGCGGAAGAACTATTTAACACTGAGTGTGAACAAAATTTTTCGATAACTAATCCCTATAATAACCTACCTGACCAACATGTTGATAAAAGTTTTGACTATAATATTGAAACGGAAACACATGATCTAATTGATTTTTCTGAACCAGATTCAAATTTTCGGAACAAGCCTCGAAACAAACCCCTCACCTAAATTCGCAAATCATACCATTTCATGTGGTAAATCCAAGTGAATTACCATTCATTATCTTTCCCGAATATAATTTAAAAATTTTGATAGATTCCGGCTCGTCGAAATCATTCATAGATCCAACAAAAGCTCACCAATTCTTTTCGAATAACATAAGAAACGATCCTTTTATAGTATCAACTGTTTTTCAGAAATCAGCCCACGAGTACAGCACATTGTTGCCAGCGTCCAAAATTTTTAATCTCCCACAGAAAGCGAATTTAAAATTTTTCCTATTTAAATTTCATGATATATTCGACGGTTTAATAGGATTAGATAATCTTAAAACCTTACAAGCTACTTAATATTATGCACCCAACTATCATGAAAACCGCAGATTTCTTTAAGGAATTACAAAAGATCCAAAGGAAATTAAAGGGCAGTCAATTGCCACTTGAAGTAACTTTAGAAAATATTTTGATATATGAAAAACTGATAAAAATCGAGAGCTACGTATTTAACAACAAAATAACTTATATAATTAAAATTCCCTTAACGACTATTGAAAATTTTGACTATTACCATTTGTACCCTGTACCAGTCGAGAAACAGGGTCAGTTAAAAGCAGTGATTCCAAAAAAATAATTACTTAATAAAAGATAACTTTAATTACGCATTTATGAGCAAGCCTTGCCTTAAGCTACACCCAGCAACATCATATATTTGCGGCGAAACTAACCTCCAAGGGATCAAGAAAGAAAATCCATGCGAAATAGCCCTCTTAAATATCCAAAACACCTCCACATGTCAACAAACACGAATCACAACAAAACAAGCTTTGTTCGAAAGATTAGATCGAACAAATCAATGGATAGCAACTTTCCCATCAAAGGAACCAATCACCCTGCAATGTCATGATCAAACAGAAGTCATTGAAGCCATAGGCAGTTACCTCATTCAAATTCCAGTCGGCTGTTCAGTGACCACAAAACAGAAAAAAACCGCAAATGAAGAAAACGTTCAAACTTCAAGTCAACTCATGTTGTTTCCCGAACTACAATTCCAAAATTCCGAATC